GGCATAATATTTCCTCTTACGTCGAATGTAACGTTGAAGAAATTCAATGAGTTCACTGTCTGGAACTTTAACGACAGAGGCTTGAACTTTTGACATAAATGTTTTCGCTGTTGAGTCATAGAGTCTGAAGTTGCTGATATAATGATTTGGTCATAATATGAGTCATTTCCTAAACGTTCTGTTATGAGTATATGACGAATGAGGTTAAATGTCTTACCTGAACCCATCTTTCCACAATAGAAATAAACGCCATTTGAACAGAACTCATAATCTTTGCTGAAAGGAAGAATAAGAGAAGAGTTAAGTTTGTCTGTCGTTTCATTCATGTCTTCATCTACGTCATGTATTAAATGCTTCATTTTATCTCCATTAAAAATGCAAGTCAGAAATATTCAGAACATAGCACCGAGTCTAACTGACAAGAGTATAAAGATATACTATGAACACGTTATGATGAAACCTACCAAAATTCAAGAAAGTCAGTATACTTATGAATATCCAAGACACTGGGTAGAGTATGTAGGAGGTGAGAAAGCTATTGAAATCAGACAGGTTCGAAGTATTCCAGCAGGAAGAACAATATTATTGAAGAACTTTAATGTTTTGAGGTATAATGATGAAACAAAAAAGCAAGATAGTTTCCCTGTTGCTGTGTATGTGAACTTAGACACAGGAGATGACATGAAAGTTTTTAATACAAAGCTTCAAACGGTAGTGAGAGAACAACTGACTGCGGAAGGGCATCCATTACCTTCAGAAGTTACCATAGCATATAATTTTGAAACAAACTCAATAGATTTTAAAGTCATCTCTGCAAAGAAGTCAGGTTTTACATTTAATGAAGCAGATGTATATTCGAATGAAAACTTCAAAGCTATTGCATGGTTAGATAATGACGATTGCTTTAAGAAAATATTTAAATACAGTGACTCAACGATGTCAATAGATGACCTTCGTGGAATGTTACCATCGACGTTTACAGTAGAAGGTTCAGCAGGACTGCTTACAAGATTGTCAATTGGTGGTATTTGGTCTCGTGAGAACATTGTTATAAAATCCAGTATAAGTGAATTTGCTGAAGAATCTATATTATGTCTTTCAAACTATATGTATTCGCCGCCGAAGCATTATAGTATAACAAACTTTGTCAGTAAGTTTAACATAAGACTTGTTGAACCTTCTTCAATGAAAGATGTTGTGCTACCTAAAGATGGAAAGGATGGACTCATTATTGAAATGATTTTAATTGCATATTAAATGAGCTTGTTCTTGAAGGTCATTCATGATGAAATAACTGTTGTAGAAGATGTTAGCAATTGTTCAGACATTTTGAAGCGTATAGATGAGATAAGAAAGAAGTTTATGAATGAGAACGTTTATGTTTCATTGACTTTCTCCAGTAACGAGAACTTTTATGAGATAATATTGAAGAGAGATGATTTTAATATGGTGTAAATGGTAGCTTGGGCAGCTTTAGGCGCAATGGGAACAAAAGCATTAGCATTTGGAGCAAAAGCACTTGGAGCTTATGACGCAGTAAATAAAATGAGTGGAGGAAGGGTTTCAAAGAACTTAGATGCAAATAAAGGGAAGATTGGAGGCTGGGTTGCAAAGAAGTTAAGATTAAATAAAATAGGGCTCATAAATAAAGCATCCAATTTGGTTGCGACTGAGTCAGAAAATGCTTTAGGAAAGGACGATGAGTTTGCAAAACACGCAAAAGACTTTAATGACCAGATGAAAGGTGAAACAATGCATTTAAATAGATTCGATGGAACTAAAGAAAATGTTTCTTCTCCACCAGTAGTTCTTCCGTATGGTCCCTATGGAATGTATGGAAACCCTTACGAAAGACCATTTGACCCATTGACTGGTGGAAGTAATTGGTATCATTACGGCCGAAGAAGAAAGACAGTCAAGTTGGAGACAGACGTGAAGAAAGCAACTAAAAAGAAACCAAGGAAGAGAGTTATAAAGCAATGAATTCAACATGGTGAAAAAAGAGGTGAAAAAAGAGGTGAGATCTCACCAATTCACCTAAATTTATTTTTGTGCTATGTTTTCATACGTGTGGGAGTGGTGATATCATTAATTTTTAAGTTTATTTTTACTGAAAATTTTTATTTGGATGTAAATGACAGAACAAAAGCAACTCATTCGAATTCCACAGTATAACAAACATACATTTAAACATTTATTCTTCCTTCCTGAGCATAACATGTTCTTTCAAATACATCCGAGACCAGTTGACTTTTCATTGACTGTGTATAAAGATAGAAATAGTTATATCATTAAACCATACGATGACGAAGGTAAGTTATGTAAATTGTACGTTAAGAAGTTAGAGAAAGTTTATGGCTTCAAGTATGACTACAATAGGGTTAACACTGATGATGAAGATATTGAGGAAAATTTATGAGAACATTAGTGAAGTCGTTAGTGAGAACGATAGTGAGAACGTTTATTTTTACATTAGTGAGTTCGTTAGTGAGGTGAAGTGGTTGGCGGTTTTGTAAATATTTAAGGTTAGATTAGTGTTGTCGTTTGTGTTGTAAAATATACGTTAATGGTTTTGTAAAGTGTCAAATTCACATATAATGAGTAAGGTGGAACACAGTGCCGCCGTACCCTTGATATGTTTACTAACTACTTCTAAACTACGAAGCTATACTCCAAAAGTTAGCAGAAATGAGAAGACTTTACCAGAGCTACTTACATGTAAGGGACTTACCTTCAAGCAGTCCGACCAAAGATGAATTTTCTGACATTGTCCCAATTTTGTCCGAAAGTCAGCTCAGATGTTTTGAACTGCTCCCAACATATCCAGAATATGAAAATTTGCCTGAACTCTTTCGGTTCCTCAAAAAACGTTTTTTGGTTCTCATGTTCGAAACTTTTATCGGAAGAGACAACAAACGTTCAGAAGAAGAGCAAGATATTATTTTAAACTTGTTGTATGACTTAACTGTCATAACCAGCTTTTTGAAGTAAAACCGTCATTCTCAAACCACTTCATTTTTTCGATGTCCGAACAAGCACCGAAGCCAAACTCAATGGAAGATGTCCTTTCAAGGTTGCCAGACAAGCGCCCAGTTCAACTTCAAATTATGAATTTGAAAGCTCATCTGACAAACACCATTAAGACTCTCCAAAGTAGTCTTATGACAGAGATGAAGGAACTTAAAGGTGAGTTCCTCATGAACCAAGCTTCCAATGAGAAAGTCCTGAACGATTTCTCAGAATCGTTGCGCAATTACGAGAGAGAGAACCGAGACCTTGCCAGACTCATCTACCGTTTCTTCGAAGAGATAGACGCCATCTGGAAGGTACTCGGAAAGGACAGAACATGCAACACCGTACTTCGTGAGTACCAAATTGAAGAAGGAATTGTCGAGGAAGAAGAGGAAGAAGAGGAAGAAGAGAAACACGAAGAAGAGGAAGTTTGGGCAACCCTTGTTGCCGATGACGCTTACGAAATTTCCCAACCCTACCCATACCAAATCCGCAACAAGGAGACAGGTAAGGTTCTTACCCCAGTCCTCAACAACTTGGGACACTTGAACCTTAACCTTCGGAATCGCGGTTCAATCTCCATGGGCAAGCTTGTCGCAATTCAATGGGTTCCAAATCCAGACAAGAAGACGAAGGTCAGACACATTGACGGTGACAAGCTCAACAACCGTAAGGAGAACCTCGAGTGGTTCTAAGAGAAAAAATATTTATTTTAGGGGGAAACCCCAAGTAAATTTAAGTTTTTATTTTTGGTATTGGTACCAATTTTGGAATGTGAAGACCACATCCCAACCTCTGTACGTGAGTCTTGGGTCCACGTCTAAGACCCTTCTGTAGCAATTCCAAGCCCGAGCAAATTCAATTGTCAACCACTCGTCTCCTCTGTAGTCTTCAATCCATTCTTTGAAGAGACGGTTGAGTTCGAGCCTGGAATATCTCTTGCCTGGTACCAACACCAACATTTGGTTGAACTGGACGAAGCGCTCAGGGATGTACGCCATTAAAAAAATGTCACTTTTTTGAAAAACGTTTTTACTTCATGCAATGTTTAACTATTTCACCATCTTCTTTAACACCCCAGTACTTACGCTTGGAGAGGACATGAACTTCGGTGAAAATTTTGTCCAATTTGAATTGACCCATCTTTTCACCGACCATTCCCATTTCAATGAGTTTGTTGTATCCTTCTTCGTTCGTCATGAGTGCGTCAATGTTCTCATAGTAAACCTTGACTTTCGATTTGACTTCCGAGAAGAACTCATTGAAGTTGTCAAGGACTGCCTTTGCGAACTGAGGGTAAGACCAATGTTCGACAATAGGTTTTAATGTGGTTACTAAGCCACTTTGACCTTGAGTGAATTCGTACTTCAAAACAAAAGGAGAAAACCTTTCAACAAAGTTGTCGACCTTCTCATAATGTTTACTCTTCATCTCTTGAGGTTTCTTAATGGAATATCCCCATGTCGAATTCATAAGAAACTTGAGTGTCATTGCAAGTTTGGGGTTTGAAGCTTTCCTAATATCATACAGTTGTTGTATGACTTTTCCAACTGTATAGTTCCTTCCCGGGAACTCACCATCTTCGTTTGGAATTCCAGTCGGAATATATTGGACAAACCTCATGTATGCAGCGTTAAGGTCGACATAGTATATCTTTTCATCTGAGTCGAACTTGTCGCAACCAATTGGTCCAGTTTGTGGAAATTCAAGTGAGTCTCTTATCTTCTGAGAAACTTCTCCTGTTATCTCATAAACATCGTCGAAGCAACCTGTTTCATATAAAACCTTCTGACCTAACTCAGATGCTCTCCAATACAATTTGACGTCAATTGGATGTCTCAATGGAAGTTTGTTTATAGCATCTTGAAGTTCTTGCAACCTCATTGGAAGTTCTTCTGGTTCAGGTTGGTATCCGAACAAACCAACTCCTTGTGGAACTGTGTACTTCTTTTGTACTAGAACTTTGTCTGGAACAACTTTTGGTCTTGCTAACAATGAAAAGTTGTTTCGTCTTTTGGTACAAAAGTTTCTGTCAGCTTGTCATCTGGAATTGGTTCCAACAAACCTTTCTCGAAAAGAATGTTTACAGCTCTGACAATGTTGCACTTACTTTTACCAAAGAATGGGTTTGTAAGACTTTCGTTCAACATGAAGTGGTTGTGGACAATTACAATCTTCAACCATGGTAAGTCTTTGTCAACAACATAGTCGTCATGTGAAGAACCTTTAGCTGTAGGTATGTTGACTCGGATATTGACATTTGCCAACGGTGCAATTTTTGCCAATTGACCTCTGAGAATGTACCTTGTCTTCACACATGACTCAAGATACTTCATCTTCTCATCTGTAACAAGACCAGAGTTCCTGAGACATGTAAGAATGCAAGGTTCGTTGACAATTGTTTCAATTGAATTGTAAATTCCATACCTTGTCAAGTCAATGTCAGACTTATTTATGAAGGGGAAGTATCCAGCATGTTGTCTGACTGCTTGAGGGTTAGGTTGGTACCATTCGAACTTGACACTTGCAATTCCTTCAATTGCATTCAAAATGTCTGAGTCGGAGTCAACCATTTGTTCTCTCTTTGTAGTCTTGAAAGCGTCAAGAAGTTTTGCGGCTGTTTGTTCATTGCCATGTGCATAGTAATGTGACCATCCAAATCTGTTATGGTCAATCTGAGATTGTGTCCTTTTTATTTCCGTCTTGAATTGCAGCAAGTACTCCCTGAAGCCTTCTTTGTTCTTTCCTTCGTCAAAGTTTACTGTAAAGGTTCGACCAGATGTAATTTGACTTCTAACTTCACGATACTTTTCATATGCATATCTTGTTCTTTCCATGGGAGCATGTGCGTCTTCACCTTTTCCTTTTTTCCTTCTCAAAGGATGCAATTGTTCGTCATGTTTCCAGTAGAATCTGGCAAGCCGTCGTGTCCTTCAACTTGAGGTTCACTAACATCGAAAGGCATGTCCATAAGACGTTCTTCTTCTAACCTCTCTAGTCTGTTTGGATAATTGGCACGTGCTGTTTCCAAATCTAATTCGTAGGTCAGACCAGCCAGTTTTGTCATAGACTTTTATGGTCTTCCTTTCTTATATTTAAACTTCTTCGAAACTCTCCAACCATATCTTTGTAACTCTGCTTTTATTCTAGCAGACTTTCTGTCCATTTATATGGGGGCATTTTTATAAAAATAAAAAAATATTTTTTTTTACTTTACATAACCGCCTGCTGCCATAAGTCTTTGACGCCAACCCATACCAGCTAATGAAGGTTGACTTGGTTTAGTTTGGAAACTAAACTTTGGTTTTGGTTTATCTTCAGTTTTTGGTTTTCTTCTTCTTCTATGGTTTTTCGTCACTTTTCGGTTCCTCTGACTTTACTTCACTTGCAGGAACAGTTGTGTCGTCAACATCTTCATAAATATCATATGTCATTTGTTTTTGTTTTCCTTTCAACTTTTTGTGTTTGTTGTAAAGTTTAGAATATTTCGACTCTAAGTCAATGAGATGTTCTATAATGAACTGTTGGTCAGTGAAGTAAACTTTTCCATCTGTTGTCTCGAAAGCTCCTTCAGACTTCAATATTTTATTTGTGAGAGTCTGTTTCTTTTTTGAGATACTAGCCGTTCCATTTCTATGAAAAGTGACTTTATAGTTAGGGTTTGTATTTCCAGACCTGGCACTTTCTATTATTGAATTTTTCTCTTCATCTGTAAGTTCTTTGACAGGTTTTGACAATGGTTCTGAACTTTTTGTTTGTGGTGTCAAATCTACCGTTTCAACTTCTTCGGTCATTTCATCTCAGTAAAAAATTTTAATTTGGTTTGTTTTCAACTGGTTGTTTAGGTTTTTTAAGTCGGTCTAAAACTTCCTGAGGTATAGGAAGAACTTTACAAACACGTGGTGTAAAAGGTGGTCTTCCATGACTTATTCTGTTTAAAGCTGCATTGTTCATTTCATCTCAATAAAAAACTTTACATTCTCCACGTTTGAAGCGGTTGAGGTTGGTTATTGTTTACCCACTGTTGTGCATGGTTATATCCTCTGTTAAAGAATCTTTCACCTTGGTCCATATAGTGTCCTGCTTGGTTATAGTAGTCATTTGCTTTGTTATAATAGTTTCCTGCTTGTCTTCCTACATTGTCCATCCATCCTTGAACTTTTCCTCTTGTTTCAGGATTTGGAATAAGATTTGTTGCATCTCGTGCTACATCCCAACCTTTCTGTACAGTTTGTATAATAGGTTGTGCTTTCTCTTTAAGTATACCTAATGTACTCAAAATCTTCCTTCCAACTCCAAATACACCTCTGGCTATTGTTCCCACTGCGGGTAAAAATCTAGATGCGACTCCTGCTAATGCGCCTAATAAACCCATTTCTTATAGGGTAAAAAATGACGAATCCGAACAAGGACCCCTATGTTTCTAAAGCGATAAAGAAAGCACTCATGATAAAAATCTTTAGTTCAACACCAAATGCTTGGTTTATGGATATCTTGGAAAACATTCCGAGAGTTAGAACAGATGGACCTCCATACTGGTTAATATTTGTTAGTCAAAACACAAGATACTGTGAAGCCATACCATTACAGTCCAAAGCTATTTTAGATATCTTAGCAGCTTTGACAATATTCGTTGACAAATACCATCCAACAAAACTGACATCTGACTGTGAAAGTTCTTTCAAATCAGATGATATTAAAAACTATCTGCGTTCAAAAAATGTAAACCAATATTTCATTATCGACCAAAACCATTCTGCTCTTGGTGTCATTGACGGATGTATAAAAATGTTAAGAGACTTAAACCAACCACAAGGTGGTGAAGCAAATGAAATGTCATATGACGACAAATATAGACACTTCTCCATGGCAAAGATGAGACAAGTTTTAAATATTTACAATAACCGTAAACAAAAAGGTTTGGGAAACCACTCCCCCGAAGAAATGAAAAACAACCCTGACTTAGAGAAAGACTATATATTTAATAATTTAGTCAAAAGAGACAAACAAGAAAGAATGCCGGGCTTCAAACTTCAGAAAGGTGACAAAGTAAAAATAGAAATACCTAAACGCGACCCATATGAAAATACTATTGACTATGACAACAATGGGAACTCGACAGGTACTCACATTCGTGTTCGTAAAAATAGAAGAAAGTATACAAGAGAATATTATGAAGTTTTAGGCAAACATGGCAAAATGTACACACTGCAAGCAGAAGATAAAACTACTATTGTCAGACCTCGTTTCAAACTTGTCAAAGTTCAAGGTGGTATACTTTCAAAGACAGTTCCTAACAAATATAAGACAACTCCTGACGAATATGCTAAAGAAGTTGAAAATGACGACTAAGCAATTCTATACCATGCGTAAACTGTCATGTAAGGTGGCATGTATTCTTTACTTTGTCCCGTTGTTTGCGTATATCCTGAAACGAAATGTGTATGGTTTCCTTCTCCCTGCGTCTTATTCCAGTAAAATTTATAGCAAACTTAACGTCCTCTTTAACATCATATCCTTTACCTTTTGTCATTCCTGACCAATCCCAATATCTATGACTATGCCAACCTGCTTGAGATGTACTTAAATCTATGTAATGACTGTGTGCAGGTAAATTTTCACCTGAAATCGTTTTACTTCCACCTGTTTCCTTTGAAGAGTTTGCACAATACAAAAACCTGTCGACTATTTGTTCCCATGCACCAACACCAAATTACTTGAGGACCTCTTGCTTCCATAGATGTATAAATAGAACCTACTGGGTTCATTAAATCAAACATATGAGATATTATAGGATTGTCTCTTTTGAACTTAAAATATAGTGCAACTATTTCAGGTTTCTTCTGGTTTGTGTCAGAATATTTTTTATAATAAAATCTTATGTTTTCAGGGTAAGTAAAGTCTTGACTATAATATTTATTTCTGTCATCTGTATAATAATATACTATTCTCGTTTTTTCTATTGCATTATATCTTTTATATCTATAATAATCTAAATATAATGTTAGCTTTTGTTCATCTACATGTGGTGTTCTGTCGTCATCTCCATAGTCATAATAATGTGGTGCCGGAGCTGGGTCAGGTAATATCATATCCACCATTTCATAAACTCTTAAATATTTCTTTTGTTCGTCTCCATATAAGTTTAAGTAGCAGTTGTTGTCTAATGGAACTTTAACTTGTGTACCATCATTCTTTTTATAGCTTACATACATTTCATTGTTATTTTTCGGAATGAGTTTATGCCGTGTACCATTTTTTAAGGACTGTACCAACTGCCATCTAAAATATTTATTTTCTTCATTGACAGAAAAGTCACCAACAATAGTTTCAATATTTTTTGTTCCTATCAAACTTTGGTATATTTCATTGACATATGTTTTATCTGCTTTATTTTCAAGGCTAACGTTTAAGTCTGTTATTTCAGAAGATGTATGTGTATGTCCAACGTCACTTTTCCTGTTTAAGGTTTCTTGTAAGTTTGTAATATTTGCAATGGTATGTGTATGTCCAACGTCACTTTTCCTGTTTAAAGTTAGTTGTAAGTTTGTGATATTTGCAATGGTATGTGTATGTCCAACGTCACTTTTCCTATTTAAGGTTTCTTGTAAGTTTGTAATATTTGCAATGGTATGTGTATGTCCAACGTCACTTTTCCTGTTTAAAGTTAGTTGTAAGTTTGTGATATTTGCAATGGTATGTGTATGTCCAACGTCACTTTTCCTGTTTAAGGTTTCTTGTAAGTTTGTAATATCAGATATAGAATGTGTATGAGTCTTATCTGCTTTTGTCTCTAATGTTTCCTTAAGACTTGGTATTTGGTTAATATAATGTATATGAGTCTTTTTAGAATATTCGTTTTCAGCTCTTGTCACTTCAATTGACATTTTATTGTCAACATATGTTTTGTCTGCTAGTTCAGGATGAGTATGTTCTTTTGTTGCATAAGCATTGTTAGCTCTTTCTTCTTCTTTTGCTATTGCATCGTCTACATATTCTTTGTCAGCTTTGTTGTCAACATCTGCTTTCAAAAGAAGTTCATTTATAGGTTTCTCGTTTAAAGTTCCTTTTGTTGGATTTATACAGACAGTATTGTTCTTATTGTCTTGAAATAGAAACTCATCTGTTATAGGGTTTAATGTCAGTTTTAAGTCACCCCCTTTCAATGACTCAGATATCTTAGAATAGTTTGAAAAGTTTGTTGTGTTCTTATTTAGAGCTTGCATAATGAGTTGTCGGTTGTGTTGTATTTCTCTCATAGACGCTGTTTCATTTGACATTTTTATTATAGATAAAATATGCTTCCAATAGAAAAAGAAAATTCTAGAGTTGCTACAACTAAACCATTAGATGAACTTTTTACTAATGTCGGTCAAAAGTTTGAGACAGATACCGTAAAGCATGAAGGCTATCGTTTTGACTACCCATTAAGATGGTTAAGAGACCCATCTGTCACAAAAGCTATTGGCTTTCGAAGAATAAAGTTTGTGTCTGTAGAAGATAAAAGTTTTCCATTTATTGTAAGGTTTCATATAGATTATACATCTGAAGGGCAACGAAAAATGTGGGAAGAAATTGAGCTAATACAAGTTGACCTCTCATCTTCTCTACAGACTGCATTAAAAAATATAGAAGATAAAATAAATTCATGTTATGCAAAATATGCTGATGAATATGCGAATACCGATAGCACACTTTATGTGAGAATTGTATATGACAAACAAAATTCACAAGTGTCATTTCAAATCTACGAAGACAATCCAAATAAAGACGAACAAATATATACAGAATTCACTGCAATGTCATGGTATTATTTGCAAAGAATGTTAAATCAGAAAGTTGAACCTCCTTTAGCAAATCTCTACAGTCGATATGCAAGAGATGAACCATATTTATTTAAAGATGTTTTCGACCCAGATGCTATTATTGTTCATGCTTCATTTTCTGGCGCCCAAAACTCTTTCTTATGCTTGGCAAATGACTTTTACGAAAAACCTACAAAGTTATACGAACCACCAAGTGGAAGTATTTCAGACTTTCAAGTATGGTTTACTACAGATGGAAGAAAAAGAATAATTCCATTATACCATGCGTTTTACTTAGAACTTAGTTTCATATACAACTACTATCGAACGATAAAAATATAACTTTTTAATATACCGGTTGTGGTTGCCAACTTGACTGTGGTGCAGGTTCAGGCTGTTGTATTACAGGAGCTTGTTCTTCTGGTTCAGGGTCTTTAGGTATAATACCAACAAACTGACCTACTCTTTTACCAATATTTTTGACACCGTTCCATACTCCTCTTCCGACAGATTTTATTCCATTCCATATACCTCTTCCAACATTTCGAAAGAAGTTTCCTATCTTACTGAAGAAACCCATTTTACTATATGTAAAAATCTAATATCCGCCTAGTCTCTTACGTTTCCTGTTGAGTTCCATAGCATTCTTTAACTGGAGCTCATACATTCTGTTTCTCCTCTGGTAGAAAACATATTCTGGGTCAACTCCTGTGTTCGCGTCATCTGCATAAAGTTGTTTATATCCCACTTCAGGGTTTGTATAAAACTCTTTCCATCTCATATTTGCATACCATGGTGGCAAACCTAACGCAGCGTCATTTGACATGGCAGTTTGCATTTGTACATCTGTTGGCACTTGACCATAGTTTGCCATTGCAGTTTGTATTCTAACTTTATTTGGAATATTCTCTGGGTTTGGTTGTCCAGTTTGCTGTGCATTCGCTAAGTTCTGTGCGTCCATTTAATATTAGATAAAAATATCTCTTACGAGTACATATGCTGAACATTTGCAGGCATTGGTTCATCTTCATATTCTCTGTACTTTTCTGCCACGTCAAATAAATAAATGACACAATGGAAAAAACCTAAAACAAGTAGTCCTATTTCAAACCACATTTACTTACTAATAAAATTTCTTTATTGTGACACTTTCTCCAGTTTATAGGACCTCTCTCATATTCTATCTTGTCATATATAAACTCATAGTCATGTATGTCCTCTAACCATCTCATAACGGTTTCCAAACCACTTTTATCGGATGTAAAGTAAAAGCATGGATGGTTATGTATAACGTCTAAAGTTTCTAAAGAGTCTCTCAAAGTCCGGTCTACTTGGTATTGAAAATCCCATGTGTTATAGAACGGCGGGTCCACTATAAAGAAAACATTTTCCTTGTCTTTATATTTTTCATACAACTCTGTCCAATGACATCTCACAAACTCTATACCCTCAATATATTTTTCTATGTCCTCTTTGAAAACATTTGTATAGTTAAGATATAAAACTTTTGACATAAGTGTTTCAATGTCATGAACTCTTATAGCACCACTATATAATAGTCTAGCAGATATACTATCCCAGTCTATATTATCTGCTTTTTCAAAACCTCTCTCACAATATTTTTCTTATCTAATGGTATACGTTCCATCTTACCTATAGGTATCTTTTCTTTTAACTCTTTCAATATTTTGTTTGTGTCTGGTATATGTTTGAGACGGTTCATATAGTTGTCGAAGTCATTGCATATAATCTTTGAGTCAGGAAATACGGTATGACATAAATGGGATATATAGAAACTTCCACCGAACAAATCTACAAATGTTAGACCATTCGGTAGTTTCTTAAGTTCTCTCAATATAATATTACATCTACTCTTATTTCCAAAGAACGGTAACGGCGGTTTTGTAAAATTCATTTATATATAATAATAAAAATGTTTTTACCCCGAAAAGTGACAGAAAAGTGACAAAACATGAAAACATATATAATTTGTGAAAAGTGACACATTATATAATGTTTTCGACCCAGAAGAAGGCTTCTTCCCAGAAGCAATGGAGGAGGAAGAAGAGGAGGAGGAAATACAAGACTCTATCCAAGAAGAGTCCTCTGAATTCACACCAGAAGACTAACAATTTTCCGAATAAAAACTTCATTTATACTAAACATCTTCGGGGCTAGAGGGCGCAACGCGCCTGGAAGCCCCACTCACCTGACCTCAATTGATGCTAAGAAACAAGTTTTAAAATCATCTAAATTGGCAAATTTAGTAAACGGTCACCATGTAATAATTGTAATGATTTCATGAACAGGCTGGAATGTTGATTTATGCCATTGGTAAAATTTTAAATGAACTTCAAATTTTTAAATTTTGTAAAAATTTTCTGATGATTTTAAGTGATTGCTAAGCCCCATTTGAACAATGGCAAGTTACACTAAATAACATGTCCTAACAAGCTGAAAATAAATGAGATGTTTCAATTTCAAACTTCTAAAGATATGAACTACAGGTATTTAAATCAATTTGTTCATTATCAAAAACAGTTTCAGTATGTTATTCCAAAATTAATTAAATGGCTATTCTAACTGTGCATTAAGTGATGACACATTATAATATTCAATAAGAAACACATTTACAGAGTTATAACATGCTTATATTCCGATGATTGATCCAATTGAAAAAAATTATTTTTCCTTCCATAATTACTCTTTTAAAAAATTCCTCAGATCAAAACATTCATCACCGATATATAATTTATAAATGGCAGCACAGCTGCATTCAAAAATTTCAGTGAGCAAAATTAATTGAATGATATTTTTAGATAATTCCGCCATTTATTAATTCTTTATAATTGGCTAAAATCATTTTGAGAATTGACTTATAAAAGCACGTTACACATTCAATTCTCAAACGTGCTTTTCAAACTCTCATTTTCTGATGCAGAATGCTATATCGATTTATTTAATCGAACCAGGCTGCTCAATTAAGCGAGTTACTGTTGATAACAGTTGGAAAGTGGAAACTCTTAAGTCTATTACCAAAGAAAATTCGCAATTTTGATTTAACAAATCCGAAATCCCACAGTCATTTACATTCAAATCACTTGGAATCACAGATGGCAGTATTATAGTATGCATTAAACAAAATTATATTTCCGAACATAAATCAAACTTTTTAGAAAACTTCAAGACTCCTAAGATGATTCAAAATGCATTAGACCCATCAATTATGCGAGAAAAAGCTAGATTACTTGATCTAAGGCAAGATCAAATAGATAATAATCCTAAAAAGTTCCGACAATTTCTCAGACTTCAGAACACCGACCGTGATTAGGATATTTAGCTCATATTGCAATATGAGTTTCTTCACCAATCTTCTGATATACTTTATTCACCCTTGTTTTTTGTAAATTTTAATAAATCATGATTATACCTATTATTATTACATACAATTTTTTCACACCCTATTTCATATGTATTTTTATTTAAATTCATGAAATATATATATTCATATAACCACGATATTTTCACAGATTCAAAGAACTTGTTTTTCAAGCTTATAGTTAGCAATACATTTCCATTCTTGTATTTAAATAGATGCAAAAAACTAATCCAAATCAAAAGCGACCAAAAATAAAAACGACTCCAAAAAAAAATTAAACAAAAAACGCTATCCTGGGGACTCGAACCCCAAACCCTTGGATTAAAAGTCCAAAGCTCTATCCTGTTGAGCTAGGAAAGCTTCACGTTAAAAAGGGTGTTCTATATCTTATGACGATAAATTTCAACTTTTTCGTTTGCTCAAAAATAAATATGTATTCAAATAGCAGAGGAAGAAACATCAATGTTTTTCACAAAATCGTAGAAAGAAAATTTTATAAGATATAAGAGTATTATTATAATTATTTCGATTTCATTTATTTTTCGTCCTCTGCGTACAACTTCTCGATAACGTCGCGATACTTGACTTCGAGTTTCTTCCTCTTCAGCTTGAATGTTGGTGTCAAGTACTCATTTTCAAGTGTCCAAGCTTCTGGTTCTAAAGAGACTTTGTTGATTCTCTGGTAACCGAAGAGCTTGTTCTCTGTAGCAGCATCCTTAAGTTTTTCAAGAATGATCTTCTTAAGTTCCTCGTTTTTGCAAGCTTCTCTAAATTCTTCTTCAGAAATTCTATCCTTTCCTAAGAACTTTGCAACATCGTCCTTTCTTGGAACAATGACTGCGACCAAATAAGTTCTCTTGGCATCACCATAGATGAATGACTGAGAAACAAATGGCGCTTTATCGTAAACTTGAGATAATGATTCGGCAGCAACGTATTCACCCTGAGAAAGTTTGAAGATTGATCCCATACGATCAACAATGGATAAGTAACCATCATTATCCCATTTACCAACATCTCCTGTCTTGATCCAAGTATGAGTATCATCAACAAATAATCTCTTTGTTGCTTCTTCATCTCTGAAGTATCCACTTGACAAACATTGTCCGCCAATCAAAATCTGGCCGCAAAGAGGATCATCGTAATCTTCGATTGGTTCAAGCTTGATTTCGACATTGATAAGTGGGCCACCAATAGTTCCACACTTAATGTTGTGGATATCACGTGGTGAACAGACATTTCCTGAGCCTGCTTCTGTCAATCCATAACCAACTCTGACAGGAATTCCTGTAGCGACTTGGAGGATCTCTTGAATGGACTTGTCCATAGCAGCGCCACCAACAACGAACTGGGAGATGCAGCCTCCCATCATTTCGTTGATCTGGTTGAAAACAATCTTATCCAAGATTCCTGTTGGAATGTGTTTGTTGATAAAGTATTTCTTGGCGTACCAAGCGCCCCAGAAAACGCCTCTCTTGATGGTAGAGTTCTTTAATTTTTCTGTAATTGATTCGTAGAATCTGTTCATGACACGAGGAACAGCAGCCAAAAATGTAGGCCTGAGGATCTTCATATCAGCGATGATGTTTTGTGGCCCACCACTGATGAAACCAATTGCTCCACCAACAGAAGAGACAATGCCAACGGCTGAACGCTCAAAGACATGAGCAAGTGGTAAGTATGACAAATGCCTTGTTGGATCTTCTAAGCAAATAACATTTTGGGCGGCAATAATATTTGAAACGCTGCAACGATGGGAAATAATTACACCTTTTGGATTACCTGTTGTTCCTGACGAGTAACAAATGAAATGAGGTGCTTCTGAATCGATTTCAGGAAGTTCATGAGGATGGCTCTTTCCAAGCTCGATAACTTGGTTGAATGACATGAGCTTGATGTTTGTATTGTAATTTCCTTTTGGTACTTCGCCAATAACAATAATCAATCTGAGGTTATATGGCTTATCTTGGGCAATTTTCATCAATTTTTCGAAATTTGCCTGTGAAACGATGACAGCTTCCATTTGAGAGTGGTCAAGGAGATAGTTGAGGGCTCCTGGGCCAAGGGAATCATAGAGAGAGACAATGACATAGCCAAACAAGCTAGAGGCATCGATTGCATGGAGCCATTCATTGCAGTTGGCCGAATATACGCCAAGTGTTTTACCAACACAGTAACCAAGCTCAAAAAGTCCAGAACCAAGGTTGCGAGCTGCTGTCAAACCATCGGCGTATGTATTCCAGATGAAATCCGGGCCAAATTCCTTGTCATTGAGTTTCTTTCTATATCCTAAATACTTTCTATCTGCGTATTTCTTGAAAGTAGAAAGCATAAACTTTTGCATGTTCGGAAATTCAGGTGGAATTAAAGCTAATCCATTCTTGCATTGAGGATGCCTTCTAATTGCAAATGGAGAATCTTCTTCTCCTGCTGCAAGTACTGAAACTGTCTCTACACTTTGGGTTATTCCCATTTAAATTTATGATGATGTGAAACGACGGTTATTTTTATGATTCTAGAAAAATAATGTTAGTAGATACATATGTTGAATTAAAAAACATTATATTTTTGTTAAAAATCAATTTTGAGTAGTATTCAAATCAAAATTTTAACCATAATACCAACACATCCATACATTATATTTTTGCTTGATTTTTTTTAAATATCGAAACTTTTTATGAAGAGGTTTATTTCAGAAATTTTGAATAAATGTAAATTTATCTGGACCATTTCACAGTTCAAATCACCTTTTTCAAACAAAATTCTTATATTCAGTAATCACACGATATCTTGCTATTACAATTATAAAAATTTCGAACTTCAGACCGAAGTTATATATTATTTTCCACTTGTTTCAGGTTACGAATAAATTTAATTAACCAAATAAAAATTTATCGTATTAAATTTATTTCTGAAGATTTTCTTTATTTCTCAATATTCAATCATATATCAAATTTGATAATCAGCCGGAAAAAAGATATTTGCTATTCGCAAGGCAATTCAGATAATTTTTTATAAAATGCCATCTCGAAATCATGATCTGAATTTAAAAAATTTCCTTTTAATAGAAAGATACTAGGACAAATGGAGTTAGTGATACTATTATTTCAAATTGTAGACATATTCTTCATCAATCTTTACTAGACAACATATGGACTAGTTAATTTCACTTATAATACAATCAATACATTTAACAACTCCTTTCCAAAATATTTGATCTATACACCAAGCCAATCTGCCAAAAATCAAAATCAACTTATTTAATTCAAGCCTATCTAATTATATTTAAAAAGACATAAATTTTTAACAGAATACAAAACATATTTCATGGATATTTATTTGAAAATTCGCAAATTGAAAATATGAAATTCAATTTCATATCTGACCTAATAATATAACTAAATCTCTCAAAGAGAGGGTTGAAAGATGGATTTTAAGAATGTGCAATATAGTTTTTCATTCTAGTACCATCCGAAATCGTCGCTCAATGTAGATCTCTCGGAAATTTGTAATGAGTCAAAAAACTTTTTATATCGCTCATCAATATTTTCCAACTGACATGTTTTATGATGATTATACTCCGGAAAATTGGGTATGAATATATTTTGGGTAGACATCGAAGATTCAAGATAATCTGCAATTGGCAATTTGTAATTATAGCTTATATGACATTTATGTGGTTGAAAAATTGTAAATTCTGTTAATGAAAGAGAGTAAAAACATTTTTTTGGAAGTTCGATGCCAACTTGCTTAGATTCATCATTGTTTGATAAATTGCGCTCCTTTGAGGAAGTTTCGTCTGGTTTACATCTATTCTTGAAGAGAATGAAAATTAAAATACAGAGTAAAGGAAGGAAAATAAATAAGTTGGAAAGTATTATGCCTCTAAATAAATGTGATTGATATACTTCTGTATTTATATTCTCTTCAATTTGATTTCCTTGTTCTTGCTGCATTAAAAGTTTCTCATATAAAGGTATTTGACCAGATAGGAGCAAGTCAAAATAACTATAATGCTCGTTTTGGTCATCAAGCTTTTTCAGAAAAAAGATGAAGAAAAAAATCATATTTTGTCACTTTTTTTGGAAAAATACTCAACTTATTTTACCAAGTTTGAATCAGCATGCTTCTCTTTTCTTTTAACCCCACAAAAGTCTATTATGGCGCATTTACATACATACTTGGTATAAATGACAGAGTTCTCTTTATATCACCATTAATGTATATTTCTCTTTGAAGTTTAGTAAATTTCTAGGGAAGTGAACATCATATTTACATTTAATTACCATTAAATCAACATAGCTAATACATTTATATATATTCGGCTCATAATATCTAGCTTTTACACCGAAATCCTTTTTGGAGATGTAAATTTTAAAAATATTGATCTAGTTTATATATTCCTGCATATAAAAACATCAAACTAGTACAACCTATTGCTTTATGATTGAAAACAATTATCTTCGAAATGAAATTCCTTTGAATTTTTACTATTTAATTTTTAAATCATGACAAATAATTATCCAGTACATTTATAATTCGATTCCGTCAATATTTGTGGTTAATTTTGAGTTTTTGTTTATGACATATTATCAGGCTTTTAGTTGAGCTCCGAATCTACATAAAATATTTGTTTCTCAGAATTTCCTTCCTAAGTTTTCGGTCCATATTTCGTCATTCATACATTATCAATTTTTATGAGTGATTCAAAATTTTTGTTGCAAATATTCTATAATTATTATTCTATCAGCAGAAATGATCATACAAAAACCGCTAAATAACATAAACATGTTCACAAAATTTCAGTAGAAATTGAGAAAAATATTGTAAACTTCACAATATCAAAAGATTTTGCTTTTTAAAATATTTTTGATGGATATACTTAAAGAAAACAGCGAAGAAACAAAACAGAAGACATGGAAGACGAAGAGGTACACAAGATACATCTTAGATCCTTTCCAGATTTTCTGTATCGAAAAGAGAAACGAATACATGAAGGATCATCCCGAGTTAAAAAGCTCAGACGTTACTTCTATCCTAGCAGGTGTATGGAGAGGACTAACTGATATTGAGAAACAGCCTTATAATATGCTAGCGATGAAACTACAAAACAACAAATGCAACATTGAGCGAAAGCGTCGCAAAATAATACCAAAAAATGATAATACAAAAGATCAAAAGCAACAACCAACATCAGAAATAAGTGAGCCGGATGTTGACTCTGAACACAACATCTCATTTAAAACTTCCTCACCTCCACGAATCTACGTTGTTTCGAGAACAGGCGTTGGAGAAGAACTTTCAGAAGTTTCATATAATTTACTCAAACTTCAGGAAAAAACCTACGAATACGATAGTGATGATTAAGTCCATTTTAAGTTCAGTAGAGGAATACACAAAAATTCCTTAAAAATAATGTCTTGAGTCTATTTCTGGAGCATTAGTAACTTTAATCATACTTTTTTGTTAATATTATTAATTTGTATTTGTTGTTGATCGTTAAATCTTTTGTATATTAAATATATTCTAATAATTATACAATATTTTTTTATATTACAAAATATAAAGCAGTTTTTAAATCAGTTGGTTCATTTTGCGATTTTTCTTGAATCATTACAGGCCATATTTGCGCTAACATATAATTGCACAAGATTAATTATTATTGATTGCATTTTAATCAACATTTCCTGCAAAAACAGAATTTTTTCCAAATATGCCTTATAAATAACTAAACGAAGAATGTCACATTTAATAACACGAATCAGTTTAACCATTTATACTACTTAAAAGAATAGAAATTTATAAAAAATAAACATTAAAAAAATATTAAAGTAATGAAAAGGAAATCGATAAAATTGCAAGAATGCACTTGATACAAACTGATATAGATATCAAAATTCATTTTGGTTCAAGGTAATTTGTTTCAATCTGTTCAAGAATAGCCAGAGTAATCGAATCAATACTTAGCTGCTCTTGATCAACAACTAACATATAAGGGTAACCATGCGAAGTTGCAAATTGAAAACCAGTGGCGACATTATCCATTGGTATCGAAATTTGCTGATCATTGAAATATCTGTAATGACCGACCACAGTTATCAATGGACACGATGAATATTTAGAAATCATGTATATTAGATTATCGAGTTCTTCAAGTTTTTCTATATGTTCAACTGGGAACGTCAAAATCACAATATCGCTTGATTTTATATAACATTCTAGGTGAGAATTTGACGAACTACCTATATCCCATAATGACAGTGTTATATTGCGATTGTGAATTGTTCGCTGGATTTCAGAATACCGAACTCCATTTGTTTTTGGGAACAAATTATAATCCATAGTATCTCCACCTCTGATACGATGACATAGTTGTGTTTTTCCCGAGCCTTCTGGACCGACAAAGCATACTTTTGCGCAGAAATTCATCGATAAAAAATTGAATCTGCTTGACATAAAAATTTTCATGAAATTTATTTATATTATAGACCATACTCAGAAATGAATAAAATCATAATCTTTTCAAAGGTACATTCACTATTTTTGACAAAATTTTAAATTTTCATGGGGTTGTAAATCTTATAATAACTAGATGAATAAGGAATGAATCCCAGTATAATGTGCATCATTATATTAAACACTATATGTAAGGCTAATGATTCTATTAACACTTATGAAGATCTATAGTATTTGAGCAGATAAATTTGATAATTTCCAAAACTCTTATATTTCAAAATTAAAGTGTGCGAATGCATTTAAATGAGAGCAAAAAGAGATTGATGCTGTTAAAACTAGGTGTTAATTTGCAATTATTTCGCATCACAAGAACTACCCAGTAAATTCGGCTATCTTTCTTTGCAATTATTCTCCATTATACATATAATATAATGGTTAGGGTTTGAAGAAAAGTTACTAGAGAATTATTGACTTTTGAAATAATGCAGAATTTTACTTGAAGAAATCATTAATTTATGAGTTCCAAATTGCTAAGCATGACGAAGGATCATTAAATTTGCTACAATTAAATACACTTATTGCAGAATTAAGATTTTTGAAATTAAAAGTTTGAAATATTGCCTTTTTGAATAAAAAATTAAATTTTATTATATAATCATGATAATATCTTATAGAAATTAAAAGAAAATATTTTGAACCATTCAAATATTTTGAATGTCTTATCAATTTAAAATATTAAAAGATAGCTTGATTTTATCATCATTAGTTGTTATCAAAGTTTTCTTCTTTTGATGAACAACAGTAAATGATTTGTTAATTACTTGTCTTCCTTTTTCGCAGCAAAATCGAAAGTTATGATGATAATCTTGCTGTCAATTTTGAAACTCTCTGATTTACAAGTAAGCATTCCTTTGGAAAAGCAGTCCTATTCTGTTTTCAAGATATTTTAAAGCCTCCATTTCATACAATGCGCAGATCTATTCGAAATTGCAAGAACTCTCAAGAAAAATGCAGCAACAAAGAAGATTCCATAGTTTCTAGCATCAAAAATTTACAACCTTAATACAACAGTTAAAGAGAAGCTCGAAAAGAAAATATTTAACCATAAAGCTGGAAACCATTCGATATCTACTATTGGATCTAATAAAAAGTTAATTATAATATATTTAACATGCTATTTGTTGACTTTGTTTTATATTACCATATATATCTTTTTGAAATCTAAAATATTTTTACGATTTTAACCATGTGTTGTTGAAACCATATATCAATCTTAGCTAAAGTATAGTTTATGAGTCTGTCACCATCTAACGTATGAATTTTCAAAAATGTCAAATATGTTCATTTTTTCTGTAGATTCAGCCATAATTTCACGTTGTTATACTATTCAACTATTATTTAATATTTTTATCGATTTAAATATATGATGAGATGCTTAGTTCTCCTGGAAATCGATTTTTAATCGCAATTTTAACTTTCCAAAAAAAATTCAAAAATAAAAATCCATCTCAATTTTCTAAGTTTTATAACTCGCCAAATCTCTAGCCAAATTTTTTTGGCCCGTATAAATATTGTTAGGCACTATATCGGGATGCTATTTATCCTATTTTCATCCCATTTTACTGTTATCGCCTAGTGAATGTACCTTTATCTTTTCAAATTTTGAATTGCTTTTCAATAAAATAAGTCCGAGTGTGCAGTTTCATGGACTATCAAAAAAGCTGCTTAATTTAAATATTTGCCTTTGTAATATATAATAACCACAGCAAAATCATTTTATATAGCAATTTTAGAAATCGAATTTTATCTCGATATAGATGGCTTGCCCTTTTACAAAAAGAATATTAGTTATCTTACATAATGTAAAGATTAGTGCTTTCAGACATTAGAGTGAAATAATTTAATCAAAAACAAAGGTAACTAAACTCCTTTCGCCGATCCGATTTGCTCCATATTTAAAATATAGCTTGCATATGTAGAAGAAAAGCTAATTTTGAAGTACGCCCGAAATCCACCAACAGGATTTCGAGCTACTAAAAAGGTACTTTTAAATGTGATTTTTTTTATAAAAAATTAAATTTATTTTAAGATCAGACTAAAAACTAATTTTATGGAAAATCTATATCGACAAATTTATTACTTATTGGGTATATAGATTTTTTGATTATGGCGATTATGTCTGATATGCTTCCAATAAGCCAAAACACATTTCATACTGATTTCTATAAAAGGTATCTTTATTATAGAAGTGTAAGCTATATCTGTTTGTTTTTTTATTATAACAAATTCAAAATTCTCTTATAAGGACTAGATGAAATCTGTATTACTAAATCATTAGCTAAATGAAGGTTCAAATAGAAAGTAAATATCAATTTATATGATACTGAAACCAAATAGTTCTTTTAATAAAAGATAACACGCTGAAAATTATTGAGTATTTGCAAATCTCAAAAATCTATTGGTGAATTTGGCTCAACTTTTAAAATTAGAACATCCATATCAAATCATAAAAGCAGACAAAAATTAAAGCCAAACCTATCGGCCAGTTTTTTTTGATATTTTGATTTTTGAGGTATACTTTTAAAAGTGGATTTAAAGCACTGATGAAAAAACATTAACTTCTGTCGTTATGATTATTGATTTAGACAATAATGATTTTAATCTTTGATTATCAAAACACTAAAGTCATCTTTTTAACATTTGCTTGGTAGCATTAACTCAAGTCTAAAGTACTATTTTATGTGGCACTCTTAGAATTTTTGTATTCATTGTACACGCTGAAATAGTACCATTAAAGTTATGACGAACTTTCAAAAAATAGTTTGGTCACCTTTTCAAAAACATGTTTTTTGCTGATTTATTACTAATATTTTTAGTTTGTATACACAGATAGAAAATGTTTCAGCAAAAATACCTATAATGGACAAAAAAATCATAGAATTTTCCCTCAAAATTCGATTCATATCTTTTCAGAGAAGACCTAACAATTATTTTCACAAAAATCTGTTATGAAAATCCTTTGATTATTTTAAACATAAATTCAATAAAAATCCAGTAATTTCATATTTTATTTTCAAAATAAATAATCAATTATTTCATTCAATGTTATAGACCGAAAATAGATTTTTTCGGTTTTCTCTTCAAATAATTGAAAGAATGATACTATTGTAGGTTTATTATATTATATAGCATATAATCATGCTATAGCCGAAAATTATAAGTTTTGAGAAGATTGAATATAACACAAATAAATTTGAATGTAAGTTAAATTGCTTGTTGTTTTTAATAGCTATTTAATGAGAAATCCAATATTGCAAAATTCAAATTGAATGATTGAAAGAACAGAAAAAGTCATTCTTTTCAATTTCGAATATGTTTCATTGTATTTATAATTATATGGCAAATAAGATATTTAAACTTGATTTTTGAAGGAAAATTCACAAAATTGAATAAATTCAAATAATTTTTATTCAAAAATAAACTAGTTATTTGAGTTTAATACTAATTATCAATTAAAACTACAAAGTTTGTAATTTAAAATATTTTGTGAGATCAGATTGAATTAATTCAAGGTTCTTTTCAATTAATATTAATGACCATATTACGCATTTTCGAACATTCTAAACCAAATATATAAAAATGGGAGACGAATGTTAAATTTGCTAGACATGGGGGAGTTGTTTACCGAGTTTTAGCTCTTATCTCTAACAAAAAATTAATTTTTAAAAAAATGACCGAATACGTTTCACAGCGAGAAAAAAAAAAAGGCAAGATAGAATTTTCTAGACATAAAGAAGTTGTTTACCGAGTTTTAGCTCTTATCTCTAACAAAAAATTAATTTTTAAAAAAATGACCGAATACGTTTCACAGCGAGAAAAAATAAAAGGCAAGATAGAATTTTCTAGACATAAAGAAGTTGTTTACCGAGTTTTAGCTCTTATCTCTAACAAAAAATTAATTTTTAAAAAAATGACCGAATACGTTTCACAGCGAGAAAAAAATAAAAGGCAAGATAGAATTTTCTAGACATAAAGAAGTTGTTTACCGAGTTTTAGCTCTTATCTCTAACAAAAAATTAATTTTTAAAAAAATGACCGAATACGTTTCACAGCGAGAAAAAAATAAAAATGTACACTGATTTTCATTTTCATTTCCAGTCACTTTACTTATTATTTTTTCTATTTTTCATTTTAATTATAAATTATTTCATAATACGTTTATTTACGTTACCATTTTCTTTATTCTTTTGAATTCCATACTAGACACTTATAGAATATTTTGATTGTTAACGTACTTCATTAGAATGAATCCTTACAAAGGGTATGTCGATCGAATTTACCTAATTGGTATTTCCAATCAGATTGAAGAAGGTAAAATGACATGGGAAGAAGCTTGCACCCATGTTCCCATCGCCCCAACCCTTCAATCAAATGATTTCAAATATTTAGATGTTTCAAAATCTTTTTTACAAAATTAATTTAGCTTACAGAATATCCCATTGCCTAAAGGCAAGAAAGGTCGTAGGGTCAATCCCTACGACCAAATCAAAGCTCTTGCTGTGATACATGACCACTGGGCCTTTCCCTGTGGTCAAACAAAACAATGGAAACGTTTGAAATTACAACAAATTGATGTATCTTATAGAGAAGTATGCAGATACTTCAAAGAAAATCATTTCACCAAGACGCGATTAGAGCATGCCGGGCCAGAAACAGCAGTAAGATATTGGGCGCTTTCACCCAATCTTATCTGGCACGCAGATGTTCATTATTTTAGGGGTGTTCGTGGCCAGTATATTTATGGCATAATCGACGATTTTAGCCGCAAAGTCCTAGCGTGTATACAAATACCAGATATGCTGGCAGCGACGACAGCGAACGTTGCGGCTTCCGCCTTCATTGAATTTGGCGCCCCTTATTGTTTCTGGACCGACAACGGTTCAGAAAATAGGGGCGCCTTTCAAGATCTACTTGATCTTTGGGGCGTCCAATGGCGGCATACAGACTCTCATTCTCCCTACCAAAATGGGAAGATTGAGAGATTCTGGCCGACATTGGAGCGCTGCCAAAGCATTCAGGCTATTCCTGCCTTTATTTGGGAGTACAATAATAACACACCGCATGAAGATCTCCCAATTAATCCATTAACTGGAACAAATTACACGCCAAATCAAATGTATCAGCTGAAACCGAAATACACAAATGCAGATACAGAAAGGTTGTGGCAAATATGGGATACAGATACAGGCATGACCGCTGTTGACACATTCACAGCGTAATAATAAACATAATTTTTTAATTTCATTTTTAACAAGTTTTTTTAAATGTATGTAATGAATAATTCATTAGAATATGATAATGCACATTGTAACAGAATAGAACAATCACCAGATTTTTTTTTGAAATTAAAAAATAAAAGTAAAAAGTATAAAGTAATCTAACCAAAAAAGATAGTTAAAAGAATTTTGGAAAAAACAGAATAAGGATAATGATATTATTTTAGATACACAATCGATGTACTGAAGAATAATCCGGTAAAATGATGATATAAAATTAGATTATTTTACAAGTAGCTAAAAGAATAAAACTATAATATAAAATAAATGAAGTTTAATGAAACAATAAAGGTTAAATAAATAATAAAGATTTTTATTTTATATCAGTATTGAGAAGAAGTAACAGCTGACACTTGGTAGACAACTTCTTTATGTCTAGAAAATTCTATCTTGCCTTTTATTTTTTTCTCGCTGTGAAACGTATTCGGTCATTTTTTTAAAAATTAATTTTTTGTTAGAGATAAGAGCTAAAACTCGGTAAACAACTTCTTTATGTCTAGAAAATTCTATCTTGCCTTTTATTTTTTTCTCGCTGTGAAACGTATTCGGTCATTTTTTTAAAAATTAATTTTTTGTTAGAGATAAGAGCTAAAACTCGGTAAACAACTTCTTTATGTCTAGAAAATTCTATCTTGCCTTTTATTTTTTTCTCGCTGTGAAACGTATTCGGTCATTTTTTTAAAAATTAATTTTTTGTTAGAGATAAGAGCTAAAACTCGGTAAACAACTTCTTTATGTCTAGAAAATTCTATCTTGCCTTTTATTTTTTTCTCGCTGTGAAACGTATTCGGTCATTTTTTTAAAAATTAATTTTTTGTTAGAGATAAGAGCTAAAACTCGGTAAACAACTTCTTTATGTCTAGAAAATTCTATCTTGCCTTTTATTTTTTTCTCGCTGTGAAACGTATTCGGTCATTTTTTTAAAAATTAATTTTTTGTTAGAGATAAGAGCTAAAACTCGGTAAAAACTTCTTTATGTCTAGAAAATTCTATCTTGCCTTTTATTTTTTTCTCGCTGTGAAACGTATTCGGTCATTTTTTTAAAAATTAATTTTTTGTTAGAGATAAGAGCTAAAACTCGGTAAACAACTTCTTTATGTCTAGAAAATTCTATCTTGCCTTTTATTTTTTTCTCGCTGTGAAACGTATTCGGTCATTTTTTTAAAAATTAATTTTTTGTTAGAGATAAGAGCTAAAACTCGGTAAACAACTTCTTTATGTCTAGAAAATTCTATCTTGCCTTTTATTTTTTTCTCGCTGTGAAACGTATTCGGTCATTTTTTTTAAAAATTAATTTTTTGTTAGAGATAAGAGCTAAAACTCGGTAAACAACTTCTTTATGTCTAGAAAATTCTATCTTGCCTTTTATTTTTTTCTCGCTGTGAAACGTATTCGGTCATTTTTTTAAAAATTAATTTTTTGTTAGAGATAAGAGCTAAAACTCGGTAAACAACTCCCTGTCTAGCAAATTTAACATTCGTCTCCCATTTTTATATATTTGGTTTAGAATGTTCGAAAATGCGTAATATGGTCATTAATATTAATTGAAAAGAACCTTGAATTAATTCAATCTGATCTCACAAAATATTTTAAATTACAAACTTTGTAGTTTTAATTGATAATTAGTATTAAACTCAAATAACTAGTTTATTTTTGAATAAAAATTATTTGAATTTATTCAATTTTGTGAATTTTCCTTCAAAAATCAAGTTTAAATATCTTATTTGCCATATAATTATAAATACAATGAAACATATTCGAAATTGAAAAGAATGACTTTTTCTGTTCTTTCAATCATTCAATTTGAATTTTGCAATATTGGATTTCTCATTAAATAGCTATTAAAAACAACAAGCAATTTAACTTACATTCAAATTTATTTGTGTTATATTCAATCTTCTCAAAACTTATAATTTTCGGCTATAGCATGATTATATGCTATATAATATAATAAACCTACAATAGTATCATTCTTTCAATTATTTGAAGAGAAAACCGAAAAAATCTATTTTCGGTCTATAACAAATTATTTCATTCAAATTTTAAATCCTACTTTTGAAATGAGTTTACGTTTTTGAAACCTTCTTCTTTGTGATAGTTATTGTTAAATAAATAATTTCCAAACAAATTAAACTTTAATAACTGTCACTTTTTAAAATATCATCTATTTCATCTTTAATGCTGAACATTGATTTTCTTCCATTTTAAATACAGCACTTTCGCACAGTATGTTCATGGAACATGTAACAACCAATAAAAACATATTTTAAAATAGGCTTTTACCTCAAATTAGTTACATCGGTCAATTTTTCCATAAAATTCAAAAAGGAAAACTGCTTAATATTTCCTCATACAAGCATATCATTTCACGAAGAGTAATATCTCTCGATGCTTCAAATAAATAATTTTTATCCTAATCTAACCAAGAACAAGTAAGAATGAGTGAAGTACTAAAATAAGACTTACATTTATATTGATCCATCACATTCTTCTATCTTATCATTATTAATCGATTGCCGTTGATAAATTAACTGGCGTATAGTATCATAAATATTGTTTCTATTGTATAAGCAGATTATAAGAAGTTAGTTGTTAATAGCAGATACCACAACGTCAAAGCAATGTAAGTAATTCAACAAACAATAAATGTTTTCCCAAGTTTTATAGACAAATTATCTGCTTAGAAATTCATGATATAGTCCCTTAATGCCCATCATTTCATAAATTTTCGTTAAGGAAAATTTCGAAAAATCTTTTCTCAATTCGTTTACACCACCAAACATTTACGGTTTGATGATAGCATTAATAAGAAGCTATTAGAGCTCTTGTATTTTCAATTTAAATAGATTTTCTTCGAGTCATTTAGATCATTATGAAATTGAGAGGAGAAATTTTAAATTTTATCTGCAACATTAAAGAAATAGCATATTGATATGGCTTTTATTACAAATATCAATTAATATTAATCTGTTCAGAATAATTTCCATCAGAATTTTGAAGTAAGTCAATGCGTAGTAGCAATAATTCCAAGAAATCCACAGAAAGACATCGAAGTATCATTGGAGAGTCCAGGGATGATTCAGAAAATGAACAATGGACTCCAGATAATGAAGAAAATTCGAAACTTTCCAATTATGAGTCTGACGATGATTTATCTAACGAAAAACGCCGAAGAATACGCAAGAAAGGCAGAAAAGCTAAGTTTCTTGTTGATCAGCTCTTATACGATCAACAAGTATTTGCAAATCAACAGCAAATGATGCAATACCAAGCGCAACAGGTTATGGTACCGCAACAAATACCAAATATCACGGTTCAATATGAACCAGTTCACTATTCTGCACAATTTAATAGAAATTTACCTGATCTAGAATCCGTAAATCCGAACCACATTCCAGGATCATTTGATTTAGTTCCAAGAGGTTCCTATTGATTTTTATATTTCTATATTTTTTGTTTTTTAGTAAACTTTTATTTTAGATATTAACCACCTCTATAAGCTTCAGTTCAACAATTTTTGGCTTCGTTACATCTCAATTATCCTCTAAAATATTTTTATTGAATTTTCATTGTTTTTGGAATTTGAAATTGGAACACAATTCTTCTCGAGCAGATTTTCCTACATACAAACAATTTATTTGTATCAACATTATAAGAAAATTAATTGATAAAAAGCGCTTTTTGAGAGATTTTTCCCAAACTCCTTCAGAATAAACATTTGATGCCAGTGTGGACTGCTAAACATATTTGTCTTTTCAATGATTCTCAAATATCGTTTTATCCTTTTGTAAAAACGTGGTTTCGTAAAAAGATTTTTATTTGAAAGGAAAACGATAAAAACTTTTGAAATGAGTGACTCGATTCGAATTGAAAATTTCGAGCAAATCGAGTCACTCATTTCAGATCTAGAAGGTGGCATTTTAGGAGCTCTGAACGCAGAGATACTGTCTTCTAAAGGGAAACCAAAAAAATGCGTAGTAGTTTTGTCATATTTTGGAATTCACATCTTTAGACCAGTTATTTTTGCAAGAACATGGAAAATAAAGCTATTTGTTAGCGAATTAAATATCAATTCAATAGAGTATGCTGATGAAAATACAAGAATAATATCTGCTGGTAAAGAAACTATTCATTTGAAATCAAAAGACATCGATTTAGTTGAGAATTCAATTATTACAGTACATTGCACACTCATGCAAGATTCAAATGTTCATCTTGAATTGAATTTCATTAATTATCCAAAAGAAAAACCAAGATATCCAATAAGAACCGAAAAACATCCTCGAATACAAGCTATAAGATTTTCAATTTTGTGTGCCAAATACAATCAACCATTTAATTCTAGCATCACAAGATTATTTTCGGAATTTGCTATATCACATAGAACATCAATTACATTTGATTCAAGTCTTACACCAATCGAAAATCCAAAAACTATCATTGGAACATTATTATTTGAACCAAATATTACAATATTACAATTTGATAACTTCTGTCCAGAATGTATAGGATTTATAATTGCAGAAGCACTTAAAAAGCTCAAATCACTACGATCTATTGTATTAATGAACTATCCTTCCATACAATTTAACCAAAATCGAAAATCCTTCAGTTGTCAGCTGGAAATTTTACAATTGCTTTTCTTTATCGAATTTTGGACAACTTGGCGTATTCTTTACACAATTTTCAGAATATCCAGGAGATATCCAATCATTAACTTTACAAAATTGCACAATTACTATGCGCAATGCAGATAGAATATCCAGTTCATTACAGACAGCAAGATGTTTCAGGTTATTGGAGGTTTTAAGATTTGATGAAATTTCAACCGAACAAAAAGCCGCTTATAAAGTATTTGCTCAATTGCAAGAAGCTGTACAGAAAATAAAATCTTTAAGGTACTATTCTTGTTCAAATTGGACTCCTCAAATTTCATTTCTCCCGACATCGGCTGATTCCAAGTTCAAAATAATCAGAACAGGTTCCCTAACACATATTAACTTTTCCAAGTGCAATCTTTCCAAGGTTTTAGGCACTTTTGTCTTTCCATCGAATATCACCGCAATAATTTTACAAAATTCAACATTTTCTGCGATTTCTTTACGAAATATGTTGAATTCCATATCACAGCTGAAGAATAAGATATATTTAGACGTTTCCGGGTACAAAATGACAGAAGATGAAACAAGAATTTTCAATTCCGGGCTTCAAGACATCAAACCATTGACAAACATCGTTGAATTACATTGGAGTAGGAACAGTTTCACATTAGAAACGGCTGAACAATTTTCTAGGATCTTTTTAAGGTCTCCACATATAAAATACATCGGATTATCAGGAATTTTCAACAAAACCAACTTGAATGTCATGGAAACAATAATAACAGCTATAAGTGAATCTCCTATTTGGGGTTTAGAAATAGAAGGAACAGAAGAAAATCGTTTGGGAGATAAAATTTTTGATTTGATGAAAAGTGTCAAAAAAATTCATAAATTAAAATCACTTGATATCATTGGACACAATTTCTCTGATAGTATAGCAGTTACTCTCCTCAAAGGTATAAAGTTCATGAAATCTTTATCAGAGTTATCTATTGATAAAACGAGTTTAAACAACAAAACATCTGTTTATGGTTTTTACAACAATATCATGGTAATTCCTTTCTTAAAATCGTTTTATCCACATGTTTATGATATAAAAAATGTAATGGAAAAGGATGTTTTCGTTCATCAACATGGTTTACATCATGAAAAATTCTTTGGACGATATGTAAACTTCTCAAAACCAACAAATATTTATTCTAGAATGTTTTTTTATTCGAATTCCATTGACATGACGAAAGTTTATGATTATTCCAATAAGTTCCCTATATATTTGTTTACTTCTCCTAGTGATGATCCTTTGTATTTGATGTCTCCAAACGTTCCAAATTGCAGTCTTTTGAGTTTATGGACTTTTCCTTTGATTTCTAAAAATGAAAACTTGTCAATTGTTCAGAAAAATTTGTTCATTTCTCCTTTTAGTGTTCCCCACAAGGCTCCCACTTCTCATGAGTTCGTCATACCTCATGTTTTGCACAAAACAATGGGAAGACACACATTTTTAATTGATCAAAATGATAAAAATGAAAAAGTGACAAAAATTCTGAACAATTCAGAAAATTTCCAACAAAACGAGTTACCAAATGAAGAGCAAAACAACAACACAATCAAGCTAATTAAAGTGAATAACACAGAAAACGTGATACAAAACAATTTTAATCCTTTTTATGATGTCGAAGAAATACAAGACCAAATAAATGTCCAACATTCAATATTTCCTGAAGATTTGGATCGGACAATTAACTCTCTAAACTACATAAATAAAATCTGTTGTAAAATCTCCAACGATAGAAAAATTGACATCGAAGAAATTACAATAGAAAATCCTTCTCCTATTTCTGGAACATTTTCTGTTGATCCAGAATTATCCGAAATGTCTAAAAAACTTTGTAAAACAATTTACACAAAAAGTGAGAACAATAATCCATTTTTGGCTCCTTTGTCAACAACAAATAATGACAAACCATTTAGACCTGATTTACCTTCGCCTAAACCTTTATCTCCAAGTGACAACAACAATCCATTTTTGGCTCCTTTGTCAACAACGAATAATGACAAACCTTTTAGACCTGATTTGCCTTCGCCTAAACCATTGTCTCCTAATGAAAACAGATCTCCTTTCTTTGAACCATTATCTACAACAAACAATGACAAATCATTTAGACCTGATTTGCCATCACCTAAACCTTTATCTCCAAATGATAATAGGAATCCATTTTTGGATCCTTTATCTACAGGAATCACAGAAACCACTAATATTATAGGGTGTCCAAAGGTGCGTTTAGCACAGCGCTCTATATGAGACTATTAAAGGAGATATATGCTGATTATAAATATATAATAAAAAATATGAATATATGTATATGATGAGTATGTTGTATTTTGGCGCCATGCCGGGATATAAAATAAATTTTGAGACAAGAGGCGGTTTCGCGGGAAATTTTGGCGGGATTTTTTTCATTTTTTTAATGAATCATAAAGAAAACATCCTCGCTCTTGCAAAAAAATGCAAAGACTGTAAAAAAATCTACGAGACATTGGTAAAATGCTTCGGTATGGATGCTCCTAGCTATTCCACTGTAACGTATCATGTTAGGATGTATCACTTCATGAACAAAAAGGCGCCCATCATAAAAATTGACAAAAAATCGCCGGATCAAAGAAAAATCAAAGCAATTCTTCAAGCGCTAGATGAAGACCCAAGAGCATCACTCAGAAGGATAGAGGAGATGACAAAGATACCACGTACAACAGTCAGTTATTATCTGCACAATTATTTGAACTACAAACTAGCGTATACACGTTGGGTTCCGCACAACCTTAATTCAGTTCAAAAAAATCTAGAGTCCAATCTTCGAAAGAGCTCCTCTCTATATTGGGTGCGTATCAATCCAAGAAGTTTCGCTTTTTAGTAACAGGGGACGAGTCTTGGTTTCAATATGCAACAGAAGCCAAAATCATGTGGATCCCAAAGTGTAATGCATGAAAATTCGGTTCAATTCATTTTTGACACTTTACATATATCATATTGCAAAAAAGTTTTTAAAATATGATGTATGAATAAGAGTATGATTGGTATAGATTTGGGTTGTATAAATGTGATTGAACAATTGTTAATGGAAAGTTCAAAAACTTGGGTGCAATCAGTTCTGATTGCACCCAAGTTTTTGAACTTTGTATAAGGAATTGTTGGCTATGATGTACTGATCATGAATCAGTACATCATAGCCAACAATTCCTTCCCAAACAACCCGAAATTTGTCTGATTCCACACTAATTTTATTAATTTATCTAAACTTTTATCCTCGTCTACAATTTAATCATCAATAATTATCTCTTGTTCTATTTCACTATTATATATATATATATATTTATATGATTTGATTTAAAAAAAATAAATAAATAAATTAATAAATCATTTACTCAAATATATCAAAAGTTTTATTTTTATATATAAAGATAACTACTTTTAAAAAAAAATACCCTATATATTTTTGCCATGTAAACTTGTCACTTTTGTCAGAAGTGAAGTGAACCGAATTTTCATGCACAACAATGTGGATCCCAAAGGATGAAAATCCGCAAACATTCCCGAAGAAAAAAATTGACACACCAATGATGATGTTGTCGGTTTTTTTGGGGCGTGAATGGCATCATCGCAATTGATATTCTTCAAAACCCTAATACGATGAATGCTCAGTATCTAATTGACAATGTTTTTACTCAAATTATCAATTCTGATGAGTTTGAGAAATCCAAACAACAAAAACAAAAGTTTGCAATTCATTTTGATAATTCAAGAGTTCACAAAAGTCATAAGGTAATGAATTACTTGTTGGAAAACAATGTCAAAGTTGTTCCAAACCCAATTTATTCACCTGATATTGCACCCTCTGACTTTTATTTATTCGGCACGCTAAAAAAGAGAGCTGAAGGACGCGAATTCGCGAGTCCAGATGATCTTGAAAATTTTGTAAGAGAGCAATTTGAGCAATTTTCTCATGATGATTTAAAGCGTGTCTTTCAAGCCTGGATCGATCGCTGCGAACGCGTGATTGAATCCAATGGTGATTATATTTAAATAAACTTTATATATATGTAACTTGTTTATTTCTATTCGCAGTATTCAGGTTTGTGCTAAACACACCTTTGGACACCCTATATTATAAATATTCCATCACCAAAACCAATAGTTCCTGGCGAAGTTAAGTCTCCATTCCAATCTTCACAAAACAAAGAGGATAATGATAAGAAAGATATAATTATTCCACCGCCTTTAGAAGCAACTTTTCCAGATGAAACAGAAGTAAAAATTGATAAAAGTGATGATGACGAAATTATTATTCCTCCTTTGACTGAATCACCAAAAGAAAACATTCCAAATCTTCCACCACCATTGAGCCCAGAACTACAAAATGATAACCCATTAGGAGTTCCTCCTCCTCTACAATCAAATATTCCTACAGAAGATTTGATCAGATTCCCTGCACCTCTTTCAACAGAAAACGTTTTACAAAATGAAATCGAGACTCAGCAAAAGAAAGAAGAAAAACCAAAAATCGAGTTACCATTGTTAGCAACAAATATCAACAAGGATGAAAATATTAAAATTGCTCTAGGAACTTCGTTACCAACTGCTTCAAGTAATGAAAATTTGCCAGAATTTGTAATAAAAAGTGACAAAACAGAAGATGAAGATTCTGTTTACGTTGATACATGGCTATTAGAAAAAGATAGTGATTCATCTGACGAAGACTTTAATGATGATAAATATCCAAAGCCAACAAAGATTGAAATCAGACCTTCATTTTCTCCTTTAGTTGCAATTGGATTCGATCAAGAAATACCATTTTAACATTTTATTATATATTTTGTTTGTATTTTATAAAAATATGCGCTTTATACATAATTTATTCTGATTTTTTTTATGTAACTCATCAAATTTAATTGATATATTGCAGATAAATAGAATATAAAGTAATTTAGAATATATTATTCATATTCGGGAATTTTAGCAAAAATAAAAATTTCAAATAAAATTCATCATAAAAATCAACGATAACATTGATACAGATATAATATTCATATAGATAATCTGGCTGCTATTCAGAAATAAATATTGCTAATGGGCATCAAAATTCACCGGAGATTTCAGTATAAAACATTATGAATTAGGTTTAATTCCACATCAAATAACTTATATTGCAACAGTATATTATTTATAATGCTGAACGCCATGCTTCAGACCATTTCAAATTTATCCAATTTCATTTTCCTGAAAAATATCAATTATTTTACTGAAAAATTACATTAATTTGGAATTATTATAAGATAACGGTTCCTGTAATGAACAATGACAATGACCTAAAATGATTATCTTTTATGCCTCTGTAATCGGGCTTTTAAATGAACCTACTTACCACTATAATTAAGAATGTGCAGCATTAGATCCGACATCTTCGATGATTTTATTTCAATATGAACCAATTGAATACCATTATTCAAAGTATTGAATTTTTATCGATTTGATCTACATATTCTATGAAGTGAGATTTTCCATCGTCAAAATCAATAAAATAAATTGTGATAAGGTACGATTTTTTGAGATAAAATTTACCTCATGATTAATCTACGATCTCTTCTAAAAATAGAAATAAGCCAAAAAGAGCAATAAATTTTGAAAATGACATTTACCTTCTCAATTTTTGAAAGCTTCACAAATCATTAGATTTTTATCGTTAATTTCATTTTCGCTAAAAGATGCAAGGATATACTGACTACATGCGCGATGCAGAATACGACAAGCTCCTCTATGCAAACTGCAAGAAAGGAGAGAACGAAGAGAAGGAAAAGGAAGAAGAACAATGTACTGAAACACCTTCAAACTCCGGAGCGGCATCATGCATTGATGATTTCCCAACCCAAGCTGAAGTTGATTCTGAAAGACATGTTGAATTAGAAAATTCTACCTATTTTGTTTAAATTGTTCGATATCCATGAAAGGCAAAAAATCCTTTCTAATTATTAACTAAAAGTTGATTTATTTGCTAAATCCTTCTTCAAATTTTTCGATTGTTAAAAATCTTTTTTCAGATATGATGATTTCAATATTCACATGCTACTAGATATTTTCATGAGAAAGAATGCCTAAAAGTCTTGATAAATTTCAAATAAAAAACATTCCAGATTAGGATCATGCATATATTGTTATTGATAAGACAAAATTATCTATATAAGGTGAATTATGATTAATTTCAATAGTTGTGGATACAATTTATATTAATAATTTTGGAATATCGATATTGAAATTTCAGAAAGGAGTTCAAAACTTCTGCGCTAATGAAACATACATATTTTTATTTGTAATACAAAATCTTCAGTAGAATTTTTTCATGAATTGAATCAACATTCAATATTGATTTATCAAGAAGAAGAACCATCCTCAATCAGGCTACACACATATTAATTTTTGAATTGTAACCTTGCAACTAAGAATAAGTCTATAATTAAAGATTTTATCTTATAAAATAGAATGAAATGGAAACTTATTTATTGTACACTTTATTCTAGGATGAGGTATTGCATTTTATTATAGTTTTACCCTTTATTATATTAACTGGACGTTTTTTTTTCAACACTCAAAAAATTTTCGAAATTATCAAATGCAAAAAGGGGGTTCACCAAAATATAGCTTAACAAGCACACGATCCCTCTCTGCAGGCAAAGATGCTCAAAAACCTTTTGGAGATAATAAACCTTCAGATAACTCCGAAAATCAATTAATAACAGAAAAATCTACAGCTGCTCTGAATAAATTAAATCAGGTTGGAGATATACACACAGAAATACTTGAATCGTTGAAAAATTCTCTTAATAAGCTCCGCACAAATACAACGTTTATAACTGATTCAGCAAAGAATCGCGAAAAATCATCAGATGCACAATTATTCGAAAGTATCAAAAATAGTGTTACGGAAAATATCGAGAGAGCTGAAAAAGCTTCGACATTACAAAATGATGCTACAAATTCTTTGATGAAACAAATTAATGAGTTTAAAAGAGTTATTGCAAGCAAAGATTTAGATATTGCGAAACTCAATCAAGCTAATAATGAACTGCAGAAAAAGATTTCTTCTCAGAATAATAAAATTAATCAAGGAAATGACGACATAGACGAAATCAGACAAGGAAATGGAGATAACTACGACCTTGGTTCTGCAGATAGCAACATGTTGTTTGCTTTAACACAAGAAAATGAATCGTTAAAATCCCAACTCGACAAAGCTCTTGAATTACCCAAAGAACTCGAAGCATTACATAAGAAGAACAGAAATCTAAACTCCCAATTACTTGAGGCTACTCAAAAATCCGAAAATCTTCAAAATAGGCTTAAATTATCTCAACAAAAGACACAAGAAGCCGAAAACAGACAATTTACAGCAGAAAACCAACTCAAACAAATTGGAAAGGATCTAGAGAAAGTAACTCTTGAGAAATGCCAACTTGAACAAGAAATCGCAAAACTCAAACAAAACCAAGAGTCTTCTAAAGTAAATTCCGATGTTTCCAATGCAGAAACCAATAAGTTCTTCAGTGCATTTTCAGGCGTTATTGGTACACAAGTCTCCAGCTTTAAACAAGCAATTGATTCTGTGAATTCCATCAAAGAAATTGCAAAGAAACAAGCAGAAGAAAACGGCCAAACAAAGGATTTACAGAAGACAATTGAGAAACTCCAAAAGAAACTCCAGAAGATGAAGGAACTCAACCTCAATTTGATCTCTGAAAATGAACAGCTTCAGAATGAGCACGCAGAGTATCAAAATGAACTTGCTGAGTTTTCCAACAGTGTTAAAGCGAAACTTTCAGCAGCAGGAGACCAAAACACAGAACTTCAACAGACAATTGAAAACTTAAAGAACCAAATTAAACAGATCAAAGATGAAAACAACAACCAACAGAACTTAAATGATGGAATTGTTGAACAAAAAGACCAAGAAATCGCTAAATTGAAAGATTTAGTTGCACAAAGAGAAACAAGAATTAATGAACTTAAAGAACGTCTTTCATTACCAGAGAAACAAGAATGCGAAGAAAGAACGAAACTTGTTGAAGAAGTCAGTAAGAAAGAACAAGAAAAAGTGAAACTTCAACAAGAAATCGATTCTTTGAATCAAACAATTTCAGATTTGGAAGGAAAACTGAAGTTAAGCATTGCTTCTATCAAGAAGATTTCTAAAGAGAAAGATCGTATCAGAGACAAATTAAATACATCAAAGAACAGAGTTGCAGAACTTGAAAAGAATGTTGCTTGTTTGAATCTCGAAAAAGATTCTCATTTTGCAACACAAAACAGCACAAATCTTGAGCTTGAATCTTTGAAGATGCAATTGCAAGCTGCAGAAGTTTCCCATACACAAGGAGCAGCAGCATTCGAAGCACAACGCCAAGAAACAGAAAGATTCAAGAAATCTTTGTCACTTTTGGAACCATTAGTTGCAGATTTAAGAACACAAGTTTCACAGTTAACAGATGAAAAGAACAAGTTAGCATTATGCCTCCAGAAACAAGATAAAGCAATGAAAGATCTTGAAGATCACCTCGCAGAATCCAATAATAAGAACGAAAATCTCGAGAAGAAATTGAAGAAACGTCAAGAAAAAGACCAAAACTTTGCTGATACACTTACATCAATTTCTTCTGTCATTTCTAATAACTTGATTCCTCTCTTCCAAGAGCCTCTCCGCTCCAAACTCGTTGCTGTTCTCAATGGAACACCAGGATCTCCACTTCAGAAATGTGCTGCAGTCTTCAGCGAACTTTCAAATCAATTTGAAAAAGCTGGAGAACCAGCCAAAGAAAAAGTGGCAGAGTTCGAGAGAAAGATGAAAGAAGCTGATGAAAGGAAGTCTTTGTATGACACAATCCTTTCAATTAGTGAAGGCGCTATTGAAGCATTCTCTTACGTATTAAGTTCCGCAAAGAGAGATGATGAAACAGCAGCTAAATGTAATCAACAATTGAACAGAAACAAAGAAGTCATTGAGTTTGCAGCGAAATCGATCCAAAACATCGAAAATGTTGTTAGAGGAAATGACTTACTTGATACTCAATTTGCTTCTATGAGCTTCTTAGTTGGTGGAAGCTTCGAAGACAGAAGAGTTGCATTGCAAGACATTGCTGTAAAAGGCTGGGATTCAAGGATGACGTTTGATTTATTGTGCTTGCAATTACTTGTTAATCAGACACAAGAAAAAGAAATACAAGCACTCAGAATGTCATTTGAAAATCTCCAAAACGAGATGTCAAGAATGACTGATGTTTCTGGTGTAAACGACGTCGAAAATGTCGCAGATTACATCGAGAAACTAAAAGCTAAATATAGAAAGGCAAGGCAGATGAACAAACAATTATCTCAGTACTTAGGAGATATTGAAAGCCGTGAAGAAAGCATTGAACAAAGAGAGAATTTGGTTGAAGCTTGTGAAGAATTGAAAGTTCAATTGTCAGAATTTGACCAAAAAGTTAAAAATCTTCAGCTCAAGATTGATGAATCCGAGAAAGAAATTGCAAAGAAAGATAGCAAGATAAGCAGTCTTGAAAGCCAGTTATCTAATTCTCATGTTTCATCAACAGAAGAAATCGCAAATCTCAGAAAAGAAAATGCTGATTTAGAACATGAAATCGATGACAAGAATGCAACAATTAGATCATTAACTGTTCAATTAAGCCAATTAAAGAATGATACAGAGATCCAAATTAATACTGCAAAGAAGGCTTCAGAAGATTCTCAATCTTCATCACAACAGAAACAAGAGAAATTGCAGCAAATGATTGTAAGTCTCAAAGATAAAAAGAAACAAGTTGAAAAATGTTTGACACAGAAATTACATGGCCAACAAAAGCAACAACAAGGAGAAATAGACAAACTTGTTGCATGCCAGAACGAGTTGAAGCAAAAGCTTGCTGAAACAGTTGCAGCAATGCGTCAACAAAGTGATGAAAACGCTAATTTATCAAAGAAATTAGCAGAAAACTTGGCAAATAGTGAAGAAAAGAACAAATCAATGATGAATGATATAACTAAACTTACAATGATGAAGAAGTCTCTTGAAGTACAAATACAATCACAAATGGATCAACACAAGAGAGAATTACAGTTAGTTAACTCACAATTCGCATTTAAAGAGCTAGAAAAAGAAACACAGCATCAAGAAGAAATCGCTACTTTGAACGCTAAATATTCTTCGGAGAAAAATTCATTCATTGAAAAAGTTTTAGGTGAACTTGGAATATTAGATCAGATAGAGGATGATTTGGATGAGGAAACCGCTCTACAAGCAATTCATAATGCTGTAGCAGCTCATCCTGTTCATTGTTTAGTTTGAATTCTATATATTTTTTTATTTTATTTTTATGAATTTTCTGTATGAAGAATCCAGGTACTCGTATTGAATAAATAAACCATATTTTATAATTTATTTTGACAATTGGAAAATTTTGAGACAAAGTCATCTGAAGAAGATGATGATCCCTGGAATTTCTTCTTCAATAATCAATTTACAAGTTTAAAGACAGAACGTTGCCAGAACTGCAAACATTCAACAGGAAAAGGTCAATACTACTTAGACGAGTTGGAACAGATAACCTTACTAGGTCAATACTACTTAGACGAGTTCTTCTCTTCTTCTGCATCCTTGACAATATTTGTTAAATCAAGTAACATAAACAAAGAAGGTTGTGATTTCTTGTCTAATTTGATTTACATGACAATAATTTCTAACGAATGCAATATTTCAATCAAGCAAAAATTCAGAAAATTTCCGTTTCGAAATTTCAATAGATTAAAATTAAATAGTTGAGGTAGACTATATTCATCTAAAAGGATCAAATTAATATATCTGACGATATGCTTTCAAACATTTGGCGCCAAAAAGAATGGGAAGGGGACCTACTGGCTGTTTTACGGTTGCCGAGCATTTCCCTGATTCAACTATTAGCAGATTAGAGAAAATTTCCGCGCTTCAAAAAGAGCTTCAAAAAATCGATGAAGAAAATTTCGATACAATTAACGATTTCATATTAAATAGTATATTTATTAAAAAAGAAAACATTTCGATTCTGGTGGATACAATAGTTACTTTTTCTTATTGTTTCCCCGAAAAGATACAGATTTATGCAAAGTTAGTTCAGAATTTAATTACCAAAGCCGATCCAAATCAAAATTATCTCTCTACCCTTGACCATAAAGTCATCAAATTCATCTTTAAGTCTATTATACCACATGCCTATGATGTACAATTCCCAAAATTAAAATCTGTTGCCTTTCTATACTTTTTGCGCAATTTATATACTCTTGGAGTATATGATATTGATACTATATACAAATCTGCTAAGAGAATCAAAATTTATTATACTTTTTATAAATTTTTCTTCCCTGAATTCACTAGCCTTGATCAAATCGAGCTGTCAAGCGTTAAAGAAAACACAATTAATCCTCTTTATATAAATAATATGATATCCTACTATAAAAAGAAATCGAATGTTTGGGATCAACTCCTTACCAAACATGTTGAAGAAAATACAATAGAATCCATAATAATAAGTGATGATATTACCGCTTTCGAAGAATTTATCCAAAATAATAGTTTCGATCCAAATGGATTTGCTGAGCATTTGATGATGCATCCAGTTGCATCAGAATTCCAACAAATTAATTACCTATCATTTGCTTGTCTGTTCCATGCAGAAAAGATCTTTGATAAACTCATCGAACTTGGTGCAAAACCAGAAACAAACAATTTTACAACTGTTCATTGCGCAATTCGAGGAAGATCTACAAAAATTCTTTCATATCTTACTGACAATGATATACCACTCAAATTACCTAACAATGACAATGCTGCGAAGTTTGCTGTTAGATATTTCAATCAACCTGCTAATGATTTCATTTTCGAACGAAAAATCTTAAGCCACCAAGTAAAAACAGCAGCAAATGTTTGTATGGAGTATTGTGGTGAATCAGGAAATTTCATCGCGCTCACAGATCTCATTGACAAAAGAGTTTATATCTCATACAATTCTGGCAAGCGCGACATTCTTGTTGCTGCATGTGAAAACGGACACAAAGAACTTGTTTCTATTTTATTGTTAAGCCCAAGTCTAATCATTGATGTTCAAGATTCATTGAAGAGAACACCACTTTACGCAGCATCTGAATGCGGATTTTCTAAAATTGTTCAAGATCTTGTTCAACATAATGCAAATGGAAGCAAGTTGGCCTTGAATAAAAGAACACCTTTCTATGCAGCTGCACAAAATGGAAATTTGAAATGTCTACAATATCTTTCTCAATGCAGCACTATTGATATTAATGCATATGAGTTTAAAGGCCAAGGAATGACAGCATTCCAAGTTGCTATCGATAATGGATTCCTTGACTGTGTAAAATTTATTTCTTCTCTTCCGAATGCAGACATCCATAAACATGGATCAAATGGAACTCCATCACTTATACTTGCAATGAATGCATTTAACCAAGCGGCATCAGCCGACATTTTTAAGTTCATTATTTCATCCAATCCAGACTTCGAATGGAAGGAAAGGTACAAGAGGATGACTCCATATATGTATTCAATTGCAAACAATAAATTTGACATTACCGATATTATCACAAGTATCAAACCAGTCAAAATTGGGAACGCAGATCAACAGATTGTTGCAAATCATGTGACTGATATACTCAACAATCCTTTGGAACCAATTGATAAATTCTGCTCTATTCTGAAAAATTTAATTAAACGAAAGAACAGCATTTCCAAACATATTCTTGGACATTCACTATTATATGCAAAACGGAATCCAGAAGATAATTTAGAAGAACTAACCTCAAAACTCGGTGAAAACTTTAACATCGAACCAACACCAACAGAAACAGGATATTCCATTGTTATAAAAAAATTGTCATAAAATGAATTCCGCATAAATTAGAAAGATTGTAAGAATTAAATCAATATTTTTTAAGCATCAATATTAAATCAGGAAGATTTCTAAATCGTAATATTTTGATCAGAAAACCGTTTTTGTAAGAAAAGTCAGAACCTTACATTTTTTATATCTGATGTTGGTTGAGTGAATGTTGAGAGAGTTTCAGATGGATTCTATCATATATCTGGTAAGAGGTTATACAGTACATTCGCAGAGAATACTAGTCTTGTTAATATCATCATTAACGGCAGTTTTTGCGAGATTCCTTCTTTCTGCTTCTCTTGTCCTAACTTGGAGAATGTCTCAATATTTGGCAATGTACTTTCTATTGGATTATATTGCTTCAGCTGCTGCAGCAAGTTATCATCGGTCACATTTCCAAAAGATCTACTCCAACTTGGTCAAGTTGCATTCTGCAATTGCAGCTTATTATCTGAAATCGAAATACCTCAGAATGTTACTGAAATAAGTCCTCTTCTTTTTTCTGGTATGACAAATCTTGAATCAATTGAAATTCACAATAACATCAAGAAAATCTCGGATTATTCGTTTTTCAACACGAGCCTGAAACGAGTTAATATTCCAGATAGTGTCTATGACATTGGTTCTTCTGTATTCTCATGTTGCATGAATCTCGAAGAAATCACATTCCCAGAGAATATAACCATTCTTTCACGACGTGTCCTTTTCAAATGTGTCAAACTCAAATTCTTTACAATCCCATCTCAAGTTAGACGTCTTGAAGAAGAATGTCTTTTTTCATGTAGCAGTATCACTCACCTTTATATTGGATCAAATGTTTCTTATATCGGCGAATATGCTATATCAGAATGTTCTTCATTAACCAAACTTGAAATTAATGCCCAAATTAATTCACATTTCATAACATTGCCTCTTGATTATCCAGATTTATTAGAATTAATTATTGTAATGAAAAATATAACAATAATGTCAAGAATTTCCAATATAAATCTACCCAAAATTTCACATATATTCATAAAAACAGATTCGATTATAGCTTATGGTAGATTGTTCTATTCTATGAATTTAACGTCAATAATTATAATTTCAACATATTTACACTGCACTTATGATACCTTGATTTATCACACAACTGTTGATAACGTCACCATAAAATCAAAATATTGTAATTTTGGTAGTCATATTGCTAAGGATTCAGCAATTGCTGAATTTTCAATAGATTCAGATGTTGTTATATGTAATTGCAGGTCATTTTATGGCTGTACAAATATTGATAATTTAAATATAAATTCAATAGGGATATATCAAATTGAAGAGTTTGATTTGTTCGGATTTGGTTACGATCGAGAATTAACGAATGTTTCGTCTGTAAGAATCATATCGAACTTAATATCATTTGAAAGTTCGTTATTTTCGCATCCTAATTTATCTCTATATATAGAATCGAATATTTCAAAATTTAATTATTTATCATTTTCAAATTTAAAAAGTTTACATATTCCAGAAAAATATCAAATCATTGGTGGCGATGAACTTTTAATTCCTATTGACGGCATAACAAATGTAAAGAAAAATATCATATCCCCTGATATTATTGAAAATTTAGTAGAATTTAATTCAACACATATATTTTCTCAAAGATCAAAATATCAACAAAATAGATAAAATGGAATTTCAAAATTGCAAAAAACTATCACGTGTCATAATTTCAGAATCAATAACGGGTATAGGAAGAGATGCATTTAGCAATTGTTATTCATTAAAATATGTAGAAATTAAGTCTGTAGATGTTATAATTGAAGACGATTGTTTCGTTAATTGTCCAAATTTAACAAAAATTGTTACTCCAGAAATTCATGATAAATTATATCCATATCAATTTTACAAATCGGATTTTGCCGAATATATATTATCACCAAATGTCGTTTCTTTAGGACAATTCTCATTTTCATATTCAAATCTCTCAAAAATTTATCTAAATGAAAACATAAGATCAATTCCAGCAGGAAGCTTTTTATGGGTGCGATTCTCTCAAAGAATTGAATTTTATTGATAATGATCAAAGAGGACCTCTTAAAATGATCGATGATTACTCGTTTCACTCTTGTTCCTCATTAGTAAAAATCAATATTTCGCTTCAATTAATCAGAATTGGGAAATATTCGTTTTATGAATACTCATCACTCGAAGAAGTTAACGTTTTGAATAATGAAAATTCTATGTTACAAACTATTGATGATTACGCTTTTTATTGGTGTGACAAATTAATAATCTCCCTTTCCCCAAATTTAAATTATATTGGAAAAAGATCATTATCAGGAAAATCGCAATTAATTGAGATACCAATGAAAACAGAGATAATTATGCCAAAAGCTTTCTATGGAATTATTGGTTTAAAAACTATTGTAGTGTTATCCAAAAATATAATAATTGATGAATTTGGATTATTTTGTGATGTAAATTTAATATTATTTCAATCAGATTCGGTTATTATCAAAGGACTAGGTATATTTGGAAACATCACAAAAATACAAATTGAATCAAAGGATTTGATTTTACAAATTGGATCTATTGGTTCTGTATCAAATGCATTTGAGCTAGAAATAAATACAGACTCTGCCACAATTGGGTCAAATGCAATTGGTTCGACGCAATATGCTCATTCAATGAAAATAAAATCAAGAAAGATAGAATTGTCACAATTTTCTATTGCATCAAGTGGTAATTATGTTGATCTAGTGTCATTAGAGACTGAAAATTTAACTTTACCCCAATTATTTGAAGGTGATATTATAATATTATATTAAAAGGCGATAATATAAAAATAGAAACAAATGCTCTATCATACATAAGTAATCTTAAATCAGTATACATTGAATCAAATCATTTAATAATAAAAAGTAATGCTTTCACATTCTGTAATTGTTTAGAAAACGTGACAATTAATTCAAGTATTAATGAATTTCCAGAAGAAATGATATCTAATTGTCCAATGCTATCTTCGTTCAATATAATTCATGATGTAAATTCATGTAAATTTCGAAAAAATTGTTTTTCAAATACAGCGATCAAATCTATGAAATTACATCAGGGAAGTAATGTTGAAGCGTATGCCTTCTCAGGTTGTAGCAGTTTCGAATCAATAACTATAGAAGATTCATGTATAGTAAGTTATCTCTCTTTTAATGATTGTTTCTCACTGAGAGAGATTCGATTTAGTGACAATTTTATTTTGCTTGACTTCATTGGTAATGTCAACAATAGTATCAAAATTTACTATACAGGTAATCAAAAAAATGATAACTACATTGATGCGTCAATATTTTTATTCTTATCAAGATATTATCAAAGAATTCATGTTCCATCGAGATATAAACTCGACACATTCTGCACTATCACCGCTATCAAAGAAACAAAATTATCTTTATTGTCGTCATTGCGGCATATTAACGGGAAAAATATATCAAGTAAAACTACGCAAACAAATATGGATAATTCAATAAATTCAAAACTCAAAAACAATCCAATTAAATATCCTAAAATAAAGAAATATGTTTCTTCTTTAAGAGATTCTGCCAAGACTTCACAAATATGTGAATTAGAGACTTTAAATCATTCAAAGAGATCAATAAAACAATCGAAGCAAAAAATTAGCTTTGTATTTGCTCTTATCACTCGCAATTAAATTATGAACGTTCATTTTTATGTAGATTTTTGATTAAAATTATGAATCAATGTTAAAACTGTAATTTTTTTTGATAAAATTGTACTTAACACTTGCTGACACTCTCAAATTTCATATTTAAGGTTTTATTTTCAGTTCCTAATCTCATGTCTGTATTTTCTTTTTGAGAGGTTGTCAGAAAAGAATAAATGCGTTCTTAAAAGCATTACCGATAATTGAAGATTCCTTTTGAACTTTATTTTGTGCTATGATGCTAGTAGAAATTCTATGAATATATATTAATTTAAGGATACCCTTACGTGTCAGATTTTTTGCGCATACGAAGAAGTCATGCTAGACATGAGCTATAAACCTGAAATTTTAGCAACATATTTAAAACTTTTTAAACTACAATACACTTTAATATTCAAGAACAAAAATATTCTTTTTAGAAATTACATAATTATTTTATGTGAAATCTATATAAAAACATATTTTGCGAGCGTAACTTTTTTCTTTATAAGCACCTTATATGACTGATAAACTGTGAAGGCACATAATTGTTAATTCATAGAGTTGATATGTTTCCAAAATTGAGAGGAAATTTGAAAATTGAATACCCTTTCAATTCAATTTTCAAAAGATATCAGCTCCTTCAATAATTGAAGGACGATTTTGATCATTTGCTCTTAAAACAAGTATGCCATGGAGAAAAAAGTTACGCTCGCAAATCTGAAATATAACTATCATATAAAAAAATTAAATTTCTAATTTTTTACTCTATAGATATTATTGGCCACTTGTGTAATGCATAAAAGTTTATGTCATATGCATACATTTGGAAGTATGGGAGACGAGGGAAATTACTTCTATGAGGCACTAGGATTTTTAAAAATTTCTCTATCGGACTCACCATTCAATTTCTCGAAAATTAAAAAAAATCAATAATAGCTAAAATGTATTATGCATAACAAATTTTAATGTTACACGGTATTTTTTGAACTTCATGACATGAATTTTCTTTATATTATTTTTTTTTGGATTTTCTATGATTTATGCGATAGGCTGGAACAACATTGTAAGTGCAATGATATCATTTATAGAGAAATCTAAAACTTCAGCATTCAGAACTCGCAACCACAAAAATATTCATTTGCTAAGTAAGTAAAGTTGATTAAGTTCGACACTTAGCTTTTATACGTAAAACCAAGTGTGTATTGTTATTTCTTGTTAAATTATTGAAAAAAATAAATTGTAAGAGAAACGATACTGATTATTGAAATAATATTGAGGGTAGCTGCAGATTTCTTCATTAACATGCCGGAAATTTGTTAATCTTGGTTTTCTATCATAAAATCTGTCGAAGAATCTAAAAACGGAGATATGAAATAGAGATCATGTAAATCTAGAGTATCCTGTCAGAAAAATAGACTAAGCATGTAACCCTTTTTTGGTCATAAACACTTTTTACCACTTAGTCATACAGATGATCATTAAATTTAAACGAGCACTTTTTGTCAGAATTTATTCTTTTACAAAGACAGAAGATTTTAGTATTATTTAATATTAGTGCTGTAGCAAAATTCAAAAAACGGTGAAAATTCAGTGAATTTGTGAATTCACATTTTTTTTCGACATTTTTCTTGATATATCCATGCACATTAAGAACACAGCTTTGATACGCTTAAAAAAGCATATTTTATATGAAATTGTTAAAGAAATAAACAATTTATATAAAAATTGCACTTATGGGCAGTTTAGATATATAATTTATATATAACATATATACAAATCCATAGACAAAGTGCAATAACTACAATGTTGTAGAAAATTACAGCAGAAATACTGACTTTTTGAAGGATAATAAGAATTCTTCTAAATGTTGTATTTTTATAATTTGATTGATTTTTTTACTATTTCATTAATCTTTTATGAATAATAATTATTTTTAATATATGTGCTATTAAAATTTCAAATTTTGACTAATATATCTAAGTTATCTGAACGAAACATTTAGAAAATATCATACTTACATTGAAATAGCAAGTGGAGCATATTAATAGCAAGTTTCTTGGCTTTATATCTATCATCTATTGTTGTTTGATCAAACAAAATTCACTCTATTATATGGTGTCAATTAATTAAAACAATTTTTAATAGTTATTTATTTAGTGCGAATAAGTGCAAACTCATAAATGAATAACTTAATAGTAGAAATGAATTATCTGATATAAATCTCACATTTTGTCCATCAGAAATACTTTAATTGCATACGCATAACTATTAGTAATACGTCTGGAGTGTCAATTAATAACAATCCCACAACAAGTAAAATTCAGATTTTTATTAAACATATTTTTTCCTAAAAGTTTTCTCAAATTACTATATATACATATGTGGATAAAATAATAGTAATATTGTAAAAAATTAGATAATTTTTTTTATTTGAGAACCTCTCAAAAGTTCATTCAATTTATCAATTGTTTCAGTTTGATGTATATTCATTTCTGGAGCCTAAAACTTTAGCAATCATGACAATATCATATTCTCTTTCTAACTACGCAATGTAAGGGTATCCTTAAAAAGGTACTAATTAAATAACGCTTTTGATTTATTTTATAATTTTATAAATACATCAGAATAAAAACATGATAAAAGAAACTCATAGAGCTTCTACTATTTCTGACTTTGCATGTAATTTCATGGCATGCTTCTAACGCACGTGCATTAATACCGGCGTTGATTAATGCTAATTTAAATTGTTTTGTTTTATTTTCATATAAAATACCACATGATAATGAGTTGCATCCTAAGAAGGCATTCTCACCAATAGAATTAACGCATTTAGGGATGTTAAAAACTTTTAGATTTGAGCATCCTTCAAATGCATTATTTTTAATAGAAGTAACAGAATTATCAGGAATCATTATTGACTCAATATTAACGCAACCAATGAAAGTGGATTGTTTAATTGTTCGAACTTTATCTGAAATTGCAACATATTTATTTGGAGATGCCGGTGGATAAACTATTAATTTTGTTCTGTCAGAGCTGTACAAAATACCATTTTCTGTAAGGAAGTTTACTGATGTAAATTGTGAAATATTTCTGAACCTCAAACATCCTGCGAAAACACCATATTCAATTTCACTAAGTTTTGATTCATCGTGAATAGTAATTTCTTCTAAATTTTGGCAATCCAAGAAGCAATGCATGGACAAAGTGATTAATGAATCAGGAATTGTAATACTTGTAATCGAAGTATTCTTTAAACATTCAACGCCTAATCTCGCTGCATTTGTCGGTATTTCAAAAGCAGTTAGCTTTGAGCAATCAGAGAACCACTGAGAAGGAATTTCTGCTGAATTAATTTTCGAATTCTCAAAGGTAACACTAGTCAATCCGGTATTAAAGAAGCAGCGAGCACCCATCAAAAGCATACTCAGTGGTAAATAAACAGCATTCAAAGAAACATCGTTTTCGAATGCGGAGCTTCCCAAAGTGAATGTTGTTGAAGTAGGGAATGAAACAGATACTAAATTACTGCATTCCATGAAACAACTGTCTCCTATTGAAAGTGGAGAAGATGAACTAAATGAAACAGAAGTAATTGCTTTGCATCCATAAAAGCAAGACTCGTTTAGACTTGTTAGTTGAGAGCCAAAAGAGAATCTATCTTTCAAAGCTGTCATATAGAAAGCGTATTTCCCAATTGTTTTCAAATTAGGGAAATTTGGTATAGAAACAAGAGTATAGCAGCCAGAAAATGCATATTCTCCGATCTCTTCAATTGAAGAAGTCGAATTGCAAATTAATTTCTGGATCATGTTCTTTCCTGTAAATGCTTGTGATTTGATGCTTCTTACAGTTGATGGTAAGTATATGATTGCATCTGTTCCGAAAAATTGAGAAATTGTTGTTTCATCCTTATCAATAAGAATATATTGGTCATTAAGTTTTATAGAATCTCCGTTAAAAATCAAATTTATTTTAGGAGAACTACCAAATACGCTTCCACCTAAACTAATATTAATAGGGAGATAAACATTAACTAAATTAGCACAATATGCTAAGGCAGAACTACCTATATAAGTCACACTATCTGGTATTCTAATTTCAGCTAAATTTGTCTGGAAAAAGCAATAATCTGGGATGCTTTTTATATTTTTCGAAAGAGTTATAGAGGATAAACTTTTACAGCCATAAAATGCTTGTGTTCCAATTGCTGTGCAGCTGTCTGGAATAACTAAACTTTGGATACTAGATGTTGCAAAGCAATAATTTTTGATCTCTTTAACACCTGATGGAATCGTGACAGAAGTGCATTTTGAAGAAAAGAATGCTGCTTGCCAAATGTACTGAACTGTGTCTGGAATGGTAAATTCGCTTCCTGAATCGCTTGCAACGTAATAAATAATCATGTTATTTGGACTGTAAACTGCTGTTCCTGTACTAGCATATTTTGCGTTTGCAGGATCAACGTGAATTGTTTTTAATGTAGAAATTTGACTAAAAGCAAGTCCATTGAATTCAGTAACAGTTTTTGGAATAGTAAATGATGTCAAACCACAACCAGAGAATGCATTACTACTGATTGTAGCTAATTGCGTGTTTGAGGGAAAATTTATTGTGGTTAATGTTGTTATATCTGAAAATGATTGTTGATTTGCAATTTTAATAAGGGGAGGATAATTAACGCTAGTAATTTTCAGCTTTTGAAAGCATTTTTCTCCAATACTTTGAACACTATCTGGTAATTTTAAGGTAGTAACATTTGTACAGCCAGAGAATGCTTGATTTCCAATAGTGGTAAGTAAACTGCAGCTTGAAAGGTCAATTGACAATAATGCAATACAATTATAAAATGAAAATTGCTGAATTTCGCGTAATTTCGAGCCAGATTGAAATGAAAATGTTTTAAGAATGTTTGTGACACCATTGGCACAATAAACATTAGCACTTTCACCACAGATAATTTCAGCTTCTGCTTTAATAATGATATCAGCATATCTATCAGTAATACTTTTAAGCTGATTACCTGTATAGCACGAATCACTTAATAAAGTCATATTAGGATGGTTATAAATTCATGATTTTTGTCACTTTTTTATGGGATCAATAGCATGCAACTATAGAATTTCTGATTAAACATTCTGGTAGCATATATGTATCTTTACATGTCTTTCTGATGTTTCAAAGTTTATGAAAAATGTATTCAGAAGAAGAAGACGAAAAAATAAAAAAAAATCGAAATTTCAAAATAAAAATTTTATAAATAAAATATAAATAAAAACTATATCATAAGCTTATTTTCTGCCTCTTGAATGGCGAGACATGGTTTCATTGACGAAGTTATCGAAAGTTTGTTGCTGTGGGTTTTGTGGTGGCTGTTGCATTCCAAATCCCATCTGCTGATTAAATCCTTGGTTTTGTTGGTTCATTCCGAAACCGAGATTTGGCTGTTGGTTAAATCCTTGTTGCATTCCAAATCCCATCTGTTGGTTGAAACTTTGGTTCATTCCAAAACCATTTTGCTGCTGTTGGTTCATTCCAAATCCTTGGTTCTGATCTGGTTGATTCATTCCGAAGCCATTCTGTTGTTGCTGCATTCCAAATCCTTGGTTCTGTTGTTGATTCATACCAAAGGCATTTTGTTGTTGCATTCCAAATCCTTGGTTCTGTTGTTGATTCATACCAAAGGCATTTTGTTGTTGCATTCCAAATCCCTGTGTTTGGTTCTGTTGTTGATTCATACCAAAGGCATTTTGTTGTTGCATTCCAAATCCCTGTGTTTGGTTCTGTTGTGGGTTCATACCAAAGGCATTTTGCTGCTGATTCATTCCGAAGGCATTTGGTTGTTGCATTCCAAATCCTTGTGTTTGGTTCTGTTGTGGGTTCATTCCGAAGCCATTTTGTTGTTGCTGGTCTTGTTGTTGATTCTGTTGCTCCTGCTGGTTTTGATTCTGGTTCTGTTGTTGGTTCATTCCAAATCCTTGTGGATTCATTCCGAAGCCTTGGTTCATTCCGTATCCCTGAGAATACATTCCGAATCCAGGCTGCATTCCAAATCCGAATCCTTGTTGTGGCATTCCGAATCCCATTCCAAATTCTTGTGGCATTCCGTATGGATTCATCTGCTGCATCATCATTTGTTGCATCATCATCGGGTTCTGGTTCGGCTGCATTCCAAACATTGGTTGTCCATATGGATTCTGCATGAATTGTGGATTTCCAAATCCTTGGAATGACTGCATCTGTTGAGGTGGCTGATTCTGTTGCTGCTGTTGTTGTTGTGGAGTATTCTCTTGAAGTGGAGACTGGAATAACTGTACTGGTTGTTGTTCCTGGAGTGGAGATGGGAATGGTTGGACTGATGATGTTGGTGATGTCTTGGAGAATTTCGGTTCTTCCAATGGGCCTTCGAATCCTGGTGGAGAATCGATAAACGCCTGCTTCTGCATTGGTGGCTGTGATGGTGTGTTGATCTGCTGCTTCTTCGGTGCAGGTTCAACAAACTTTTGCTGTGCTTGTGGCGGAGAATCAAATGTTTGCTTCTGTGGTGGAGGAGCATTGAATGTCTGTGTCTGTGGAGGAGGAGCATTGAATGCTTGAGTTTGTGGTGGTGCACTGAATGTTTGTGTCTGAGGTGGAGGAGTTGATGGAGCATCCAATTTCGGTGGTTGAGGAGGTGGAGTTTGCTGGAAGGATGGCTGTGGTTCCGGTGGAGGAGATGGTTGCTTCTGTGGAGGAAGAGATGGAGCAGCAAATGACTGTGTTTGTGGTGGTGGAGATGCCTTGAATGCTGGCTGAGGTTCAACAAACTTTTGCTGGGAAACAGGAGGTTGTGGAACTTGGTTGATTGGCTGTTTCAACCATGGCTGAATTGGAGTAGAACGTGTTTGAGAAGGAGTAAGAGATGGGAAATTGTTATCAAGAGGAGACTTCTTTGTTTGTATCTTGTGTTGTTGTGGTTCTGGTTCCTGTTTAGTTTGTTGTTGAGGAGTAGCTGAAGCTGTTGTAGGTGGAAGACGCTTTGGAATGTACTTTGTTGGCTGTGTTTGTTTAACAGGAGGAGGTTTGACTGGAGCAGATTTAGAACTGACAATTGGTTGAATTGGTTCAATACTTTCTACAATTTGTCCAACACCAAATGAAGCAACAGCTGTATCAACAACTTGTTCAATCATATCAGACAAAGCCTTCTTGATATGTGTTGTTTCTTCACCAAACTTCTGTTCCTCGCTCTTGAATGAGTCTGGAGATCCACCTGCTTCTACGTAGTACTTCTTAAATGCTTCCATGCCTTTCTTAGCTTTGTAGTCTGTGGAAATGAAGCAAACATCGATGTGTCTCTGAGCAATTTGTTCGATCAATTTCCTTGTCTTTGGTCCTTCTTTCTCATTCAAAAGGATATCATTTGAATCTGGATTTGGTCTTCCATTGAATTCACTGCCATGGCCACCGTTATCTGTGATCATGATCATGATCTTCTTCGAGTTCGCCTTCCACTCCAAATTGAGCATTGAATCGAAAGCCTGAACCCAATCTTCTGGACCATCTCCAGCACCGCCTTTGCTTTCTACATCATCGAACTTGACTGGATCAATACCAGACTGGTGTTGTCCTGGTTTTGGATTCTTGAAGTCGTAGATTGTTGGCATATTTGCGTTGATGATTCCTTCGCGAGCATCTTTGTACTTGAACTTCTGTTCGGCTTTAGCCATATCTCTGAAGAATACACTTGCGTATCTAACAATGAGATCTGGGTATTTCCTTGATGTGTATTCCATGAGTTTCTTGAGAATCTGCTTTGCACCGTAGATCATTGATCTGTCGCTGACTTCGACTTGGTTTTCTTTACTTCCTGCTTCGTTGATCATTGATCCTGTTCCATCGACGACCAATGCGATATCGATGTATTTGCCATCGATGTATTGTTCGAAATTGACTGGTTCATGAGCACTTCTTTCTGGAATTGGGAAATCGAACTTTCTTGCTCTGTATTCCATAGCCTTTTGTGTTGATTTGAAGAGAATTTCTCTCTTTTCAGCTGAAACTAACCAAACAGCCATGTTGATAACTAGTCTTCTTGTGCCCGCTGTATGTAATTCATTGAAGAACTTGGTGAATGAGCCATCAATGATGATATCTCCTTGGATGGAATCTGATGGAGCCATGTAGTACAAGTTGGAATAGTTTCCGCTCTTTGAAATGATAAATGGATTGAATGGAGCAATATCAGCTGACTTAGGAACACAAGAAATTGTTGTTCCGTCGTAAAGACCTTTGACATTGAAGCCGTAAAGAGGTCTTTGAGCTCCTTCAACAGTGATGTGTTCTCTCTGATCGAAGATTGAGTTGTTTCCGCTGTCGATGTCTCCGAACAACAACAGGTTGCCTCCTGGTTCATCGATGTTGAATTTGAATCTTGGTTTGATTCCGTCCAAAACAACATTGTCGAGGAATTTGTTGAGTTCGTATGTGAGTGGATTGTTATCTCCTGAGAACATCAAAGCACCGCCGTTCTTGTTGAATTGGATCAAGCAGTCAATGAATTCATCAATGAGATATGATGATCCGCCTTCTTCGAGTTCATCTGGCTTCTTGTCTTCGCCTCTTCCGCAGATGATCCATGCCTGTGAGAATTCTCCTGATCTCAATTTCATGATTGAATCCTTATAGTTCTGGACAATTGTGCATTGAGCACCAATCTTTTCGAGAGCTTTGATTGGTCCTTTTTCTCCTAATAATGTTTCTTTAGTGATTGCTTTGCTTTCTCCTGTTGTATTCTTCGGTAGCATCTTGTAATCCCAGAACTGGCAGATAAGAACTGAAAGTTTCCAGTTGAGTCCGCGAGCTAAATCCAAATTAACATCATTATCATCGAATGATCCTGCAGCTAAAGCTTCGTTTCTCTTCTGTCCTGTTAAGATCTCGAGTGGTTTGAATACACGTGGTTCTGTTGACATAATTATCTGTGGAGTTCCAGGAACAGTCAATTGTGTTGTCTTCTTGTATTCGACGTCTTCTTGTGATGTAAATGGAATTGCTCCATTTGGAAGAATTGTTAATCCTTCTGCAGAAACAATTGTTCCGTTTGGATCGCGGACGTAACCATCGAATTCTCTTGAAGCAGCAGAGATTGGGTTGTAGATAGCACCGTATGTTTCTTTGAGGCGAGTAACTCTTGTCAATTCCTTGCAGAAATCGGTGAAAACAGGCGGCATCGGTGGATCATCAACTATTTTAACGGCATTCTTGATTTCGTCGATTGATTTCGATGGAACTTCTTGGGATTGGATTTGTGTTGTTGACATGAAGTTTCCTCTTAAAACTTTGGCCAAAGCGATTGGAGAAACAATTGGATTTGGTGCCCATGTTGAGTATCTGAATACTTGACTGATGAGCTTTGGATAATAACCAATACCAATACCAACAATTCTTGTTGCTCTGTTCTCTAAGTAGCTTGTCATTGTTCCTATATCACTTGCATCAGTTTTTCCGACCATTGCGTCTGTGAAGCACAAACAAAGAGCAGCTTTTGTTGTTTGTTTGGCTCTGATCTGGTAAACGGATGCGAAAGCTCCTGCGAGATCTGATTTGTTGGTTGGATTTGCACATGCGGAATATAATGCGGAATACAAATCAGATGATGGATTCAATGTTTCGGAGATTGACGTTTCATGGCATAATTCTAAAACGCCTTTCTTGTTTGTAACAAAGATTGTGACGCTTTCGAAATCAACGTTCTTCAAGGCATACAAGTTGCAAATGATTGTCTGCATTGAATGATTGAAAGACAATTTTCCGAAGCAACTTTCTGTTCCATCAATGACAATGAACAATGAATATGATGGAATATGTCCTGTGTTCTTCTCCAAGTATATTCTCTGATCTTGGCCCTGTGTGATGTAGAACTGGATGAAGCCTTTCAATGAAATATTCGATCCTTTAGTGGATGGACTGAATTGAGAAGGTTTGTTTGGTTCGAAAATGCTTGGCATGCTTGAGCAAATTGGATCAACATCTTTGAAGATCTGGAATTCATGAACAGACTTTCCTTCGACTTTAGGACTGAACTGGGTATCATCTGTCATGTTGACTGATGTTGTTGTGTATTGGTTGAATAGCAAATCTTCTGTGTATCCAGCAAAGTATTCCTTGGAAGAAGAAACTGCAGTCATTGTTGGGATTGCAACAGATGGAAGGATTTCGCGTCTGTCAACTACGCAGGAGTGATCTTTGTGGATTGATCCATGTTGTAATGATAAACCATTGACAAATGAAGAGTACAATTCAGGGCTTCCGAGATTGAAAGCGATGTTTGGATTAGTGCCAATGAATGTGTTTATCTTTGTTTCTGCTTTGCTCAAGTTCTCCTTGAATGACTTGATGTAGTTGTTGACAATCTTGCTTTCTTCTTCTGGAAGAATTGAAAGCAAAATCATTGAGAAAACGTTTTCTTTCTTGTCCAACAAAATGTTGCCCCAATCTTCTGTTGCATGTAATTTCGTGAACAAACCATCGGAGAATGCGTAAATTGATCTCCTGGAGCATCCATCGGCTGGTTTCAAATCATGTGCCAATTTGTATGCATCGCCCAAATCTGTCAATTTTCTGTAAACTGACAATGAATCCAAAGCGAGTTGGAAGTGAGCTGCTGAGAGAGTTTCCTTGAAATCTTTGATGACGAAGTGATATTCGTGATCACAGAAAACAATGATAGAAACAGGAACATGTAATGTATCAAGAGCCAATGCAAAAGCAACGAACATTGTAAACAATGCTGCTCTTTGGTTTTCTTGTCTGATTGTTGATGATGAATCCAACATCAAAACAGCATCAGTCTGTGAGAAGTTGTCGAGATCTTCAAGATTGTCAACTGTGTATTTGACCAAATTGCTGGCCAAGGGAATTGCACAGTCCATCAATGGCTGGACATAGAGTTTGGACTCCCATCCTTTTGTGGAATTAATAACACTTGTCTTGAGGAACTCGCCAATCTTCTTTCCAGACAATTTGAGGTGTTCGTTGTAATCAGGAGTTTCCATTTGTTTGATAATCCATTTCTGGATTTCATCAACTGATGAATCTGCGCTGATCAAAATTGCATTTTTATCTTGTTTCTTTGTCAAGATTGCCTTTGTAAGTTTAGGAGCTTCGATGTTATGCTTATTCTTGCTCTTATCATCTTCTGTTGACAAATCCTTCTTCTTGATTGAAGGGAGCTGGATATCAATTTTCTTCTTTGTTTCGACTTGTTTCTTTGTCCAACTTGGTTGTTTAACCTTTGGTTTCTTGTATTGAGGCAAAACAACATATTGTCTGTACTTTGAATTTGTTCTGATCAAATCCAAGAATTGTGGTCTGTTTCCTCCAGAAAGAGATTTGCAAAGTGTTTCGAATGCTGAAGAAAACTGCTCTGCAAGGGATTTGTATGGAGTGTATGGTAACTTTTCTGATGATGTTGACCATACGTAAATGTTGTACAAAAGATCGAATAATGCTTGAGCTCTTGGATGCAATGTTTGCTTCTTTTGTACAACGAGCCAGTTGTAAGCCATTAATGTGAATTGCTTGCAGAGATCGATGGAATTCTTGAATGTTTGGATAACAGCATTTGGAGATTTCTTGTTAATGAATGATGGCATCTTGAAATTTTCGAAATCGAGATCGATTGCTGTTGGAAGGAAATCTGTTTCAATTGGTTCACTCTTTGACTTGGCTTCATTGATTATTTGATCCATCTCTTCTTTTGTAATTCCTCTTGGTCCTTCTTCGGTCAAAAGAATTGCATTATAAACATTTTCTGAAGTAAATAGCATCTTCTTCAAAATGTCATTTGCTTTGTCTTTAACTAAATAGAAATCTTTATTGGGGATGTTGAAGTTGTAGTTAAAGAGCTTGTTCTTTCTGATATCAATCATCTTGTTTGTGACCCATGTGAATGGTGTCAAAGTCTTGATTGAGTTGAAGTTTCTCTTGATTGTATCAATTCTGTCTGTTGAAATTCTCAAGATGAACTCCAACAAAATGTTGTTGTCAACTTTGTTGTCTGTCAAAGCGTTTAACTCTGTTTGATATTTTAATATCGCTCTGACGCATGACAACAGTTTCTTGATCAAATTCAAGAAGTTTCTGCCATTTTTAACAAAAGCATCCATGATTTCGCTGAAAAGATTTCTCATTTCAGCTCCGGATTCGTACCATGGGAACCATGTATCAGACCATTGGGACTTCTTTGTTTCATCGAACTGTTTAGGACCTAATCTAGCGAAAATGATCTTGAGAGAACTGTTGTTTGCTCTCAAGTATTCATCGTAATCTTGGATATCATATTTCAAGTCATACATGTTAATTGTTACGACAGTGAATGGAACATTCTCTGGTAATCTTCGTGGAGAGTCGTAATCAATCTGTGCTTCGATGAATGGTTCGTAAGTAGAATACCATGTGTAGCTGTTTGCGGAAACGAAAATGTAGTTTGTATCAGGAACATTTTGGAATCCGCTTTCTGGATTTTCAACTATATACTTATGTTGAAGAGAGTTGTTTGCATCGTAAACATAAACTTGTGATGGAATGTAACACTCTGTCTTCATTGGATAAGTGATATAAAGGTTTCCATCTCTTGATTCGAATTGAGGAACTGTGCAAACTAATTTAACAGAGAATTTCATCTCTTGTTCAAATGATTCTGATCTGACATGGAAGATGAGTTTCTCTGGTTTGTAGAATGGTTTTGTTGTTGTAATGTTGAAACTACCTTCAACAAACAATGCATATTTCTGATCGTTTGTGGTTCTCTCCTTCAATTGCAGATCGGAAACCAAGATATTCTTGTTAGAAACTTCTGTTTCTACGTAGATACGATGGTCTACGTTCGACTTGATTGTGATGATTGCGAACAAACACTTCATTTGTAAGTTTCCGACAGCGTAGAATGAATTCTCTGGAGTATCCCATAATTGTGAATTCTGTTGGTTGCAAACTTTGAACAAGACATCTCTTGAAACAACTCTCTTGTTGAAATAAATGTCTGTTGACATTTGGTTGCAGAAATTGACATTCAACATCATTGAAATATTTTCATTTACTTTGAATTTCGATGTGTTGGAGCGATATTCGACCTTTGGATACTTCTCTTGAACAGTATCTGCAAGAGGAAGGAAGATCAATGTGTGAGGAACATCTTTTCCTGTTTCATCCAAGCATTTGATTTCTGTGTAAGAATCGTTGAAAATTGGATTTTCTTCAAACTCGAATTTCTCACGATTCTTATTCCACAAGAACCTGTTGTTTGGTGATATAATGAAGATCTTTGTTGGCTTGTAAGTAACTATTGCTTCGAATGGAATGATCAACTTGTCAAGTCTGATGTTTCCTGAGAGTTTCTGTGGTAAATCAACAACTTGTGACAATTTATCAACAGGAATAGAAAGTTGCCAATCTCCTTCACGTGTTTGTGTCATTGTTGGAACAAAGTTTACTTCTTTGTTGTAATCAGTGATACTGATTGTGTATTTATCAGTGTTACCAAACGAATTAATAATGATGTTCAATGGATTTTGGTTAAGTGAAGTGATCTTTGGAATTGTCAAATTAATTCGTTTGAAGTTTGCCGCGATTGTGTTCTTATCTTCATAAATTGCTGGTGAATACAAATCATGGGATCTCGTGACTTCAGACAAATTAGCTTTGCATGGAATACTCTTTGTTGGGAGATCTACTGTTGGTGAATGTGGCCAATCACTCTTCTTTGCCTTGAGTGATTCCAATCTATCTTCAATTCTGTTGTATCTTTGTTCGAAATCTCCCAATTCGAGGAGGAGCTGTGGAATTTGTAACCAGACTTTCTTGGCATTTGTCATATCGAAGTTCTTATCGTATTCGATGACAGGAGTTGTGTTGTATCGTTTTAACAATTTCTTGTAATCTTGGATCTTTGTTGGGCAGTATTCGACTTCTTTTTGGAAATCTTGTAAACTGAAGAAACCGAATTTGACAATTAACTTCTCAATGAACTCATCTGGTTTCTTCGATTTGATATAACTTTCAAGTTTAGATGTGGCCCATTGGTATGTCTTTATGAGATTTCCTAATTTCTGGCAGTCCAATCCATATGAAGCTCTTTGGAATTTCTCTTGTTTCTTTGTTGATTCGGAGATATAAATTGTCTTGATCTCGTAGCCTCTGTCTTGGACAGTGTAATCTTCTGGTGAATCGTTTTCTGGTAAAGTATATATTTCTGGTGAATTTGGAGTAATTGCGATATCTTTGTACATTCCAGTAGCTTTGTTTGTGACTCTGAATGATGATGTTCTGTCCTGTTTGATCATGATGATGTTGACTTTTCTTTCGGTCGACAAAGAAGGAATTCCGTTCTGGAACGCTTCGAAGAACTTGATTGGATTGTATCCAATTCTTTCCTTCTTCTCGAATGTCATGATATTCTGGATTGGAGCAATGAATTCGATGACAAATTCGGAGTAATCTTGCCATGCTTTGTATCTTTCTTCGTTGATTCTCTCGAGTTCTGGATCTTTGACTTTGTTCGCCAATGAATTGAATATCATTTTATCTTTGGTGCAGGCATCAATTAATTCATTCATGAATCTCTTTATCTTCTGCTCTTTGAATGCGATTTGATCGTTGTTCAATTTCTTCTTTTCTGAATCAAGGTTACTTATTTCTTCTCTGATTGATGAAGCAGCGATATCGAGAAATGTGGCAACCGGATTGAAAATGAATCTTGAAACCGTGACCATTGGCTTCTTCATGTTTGGCATTACAAATCCTTCGTTGTTGTTAAGAATTTGTTCGTATTGGTCAGTGTCAAAATCTGACAAAATTAATGTCAAAAATGAATTGAAATATTCTTTCAACAAATCATTGTAATTTTGATTTGTGTTGCAAACAGCGACTTGTGTGATACAATCAATTAAGATTGTTGTACCTTGTTCCTTGCTTGATGAAGAAACCAACTTCAAGAAGAAGTCTGTTTTGTTAGTATCCTTCAACAAACATTGAGAAATGACGTTTTTGATGATTTCAACGCAAAATTCGTTTGTTGACAAAGAAATCTGTAACAAATTCTTGTTGGAATACAATCTCAAGAGAATTAAGCCGAGTGTTAATGAATCATGAGTAAATGTTGGTGACAAATACTCCTTGATTTCTGGGTCTTTGCTCAACAACAAATTGGAGAATGGATACTTCTTTGCGTAATTATCGCCATAGGCATCGTTATCATCTGCAATCAACTTTTCATCTGTTGTTTGGTTCATCTGTTGACATAATTGCTCTAATTCGGCGAACTCCTGTTCGTCCTTTTCTTCGATGAAATCTTTGATCTTCTGGGCTAATTCGACTTGGTTGTTTGGTGGCAAAATGGAGCGATTCAAAATTGCTTCTTCGTATTCTTTGTATTTATCATTTTCGTTCAAGAACTTGAACAAATGTGGAAGAATATTGATAAAAGCAAAGATACTTGATGAAGGCAATTCAATGGATGTTTCAAGTGGATACTTCTTTGTTACTTCATCAATGACTTGTTCCCATTGTGGAGAAATTAAATTCAAATTATTCTTCATTGCGTTTAATTTCTTGATCAAATTGGATTTAATCAAATACTCTGGTGTCTTGATATTTGCTTTGTAGTAATCTTTGATGGCTTCGTCTTCTACTTTGAAGAGAACATTAGCGGCATCATCTGTGTTTTCGATAAATCCTCTGATCGCTGGTTCCATAAATGTTGGATAAATCTGACAAAGTTCATATAAAGCGTTGAATGACTTAAACTTGTTCTTTGGCTGTCCTTCTTCGTCAGCGATGTTATTCTTGATTTCATCAACTAAATTGCAAACATAGGAGTATTGTAAAAGATTTGTAAACCATTGAATATTTTCTGTTGAATCTTGGTCGATTGCCAATTCATTATATGTTGATAAAATGCAAGGTCTGCAATCATCTGCGTGGCTCTTGATATCTTCATAGAGTTTCTTGAGTACATCGTTTGGTAACAATGGTTTAATGTACGAATTATCAATGTACCACTTGAAAACGTGGTATCTTGGGCTCTTCAAGGAAATATAATCTAAAATGATTTGGAAATAATCGTTCTTATCTTGTTTGAAACTTGCCTTCTTCGAGTTCTTTCCGCGCTTTGGATTTTCTGTTGTATTTGTCTTCCTCTTATTAAGACTTGTCTGGAATGAAACGAAATCTTTAACATGGAAAGCCTTGATGTTGAATGTAGCTAATGTGTTGAAATCTGTTTCTTCACTGCTGATTGGGAATTTGTTGCATAAATCATCTAAGTTGTTTACATTCAATTTATTTAAGTAGTTGTAAACAACAGAAATCCAATCATAGAATTCTCGGAGCATAAATGAATTCTTTCTTGAAACAATTTCATTGATAACAGAGAATGTCATCAAATCAATATTTGTGAAGAATGGTGACATATCTTGATATGTATTCATGAAAATGATTGATGAGAAAATTGTGTTCAAATCGATATTCGAGTAATTATCATTGTTATCTGTATAAACATCTGGAACTAAGCCTTTCACTGATGTAGAAATTCTGTTGAATTCTACATATGGAATACCTTGATCGTCATTGTGTAATTTCTTGTATGCGTTGTTGAAGTAATTGAAAATATCTTCGGGTGTTTGTGAATTCTTGGAAGGATCTGTTGTACCGAAATCTTGTGATATAATTGCTTTAACTTCGTACTGTGTCATGTCAATTGAAATTGTGTTTGGAGCTATTTGTTTGGAGATTTGTACAATATATCCAAAACTAGATAATTCACTGATCAACCATGTCAAGTTGTACATGTATGAATTTGCTTGGAAACAACGTGGGCTAAGAACTTCCAATTGCAAGAAGAAGAACAAAGCTTCAGGAACTGTCCTGGATTTGTACAATGAAATGAACTGTTCTGGTCTAAGGAAGTTTGTATTCGCTGCTGGAATGAAATCAGGAAGATTAACAATTGTTCTGATCGCTTCAATCATTTGACTGAATTCCTGCAAACGTGGGAATTCATTGACATTGAATGTATCCAAGCTGAATTGCTTTGTCTGGCTGGTGAAAAACTGTTCATTCTTCTGGATATATGATGCAATGTATCTCAAAACTGTTAAGTCGAAAACTGACTTTTCGTCAGTATAATTGAATTCAGAAATTGGATCAACTAATCTGTCGTATTGGTTGAACTGGAGTTTTGTGAAGCAGCCAATGAATGCTCCAATGTTAATCTCGTTCTTTTCCTTGTAATGCTCAAGCATGTTGATGACGATCTCTAAATCTTGTGTTACTTTTTCAATGATGTTATTGAATTTAGTTAATAATGTTTCTGGAACTGGTTGAATGAATGAACTCTGGATTTCTGTGATGTGTTGTTGTGGATCATTCAATTCTTGTGAGTAGTTTGCCATCAAAATCTGGAGTAATGCGATGGCATCAATTGTTCCTCTGTATGCTTTGATTCCTCTTGAAATTCTGACTAATGTTCTTCCATTAATAATTGCGCCGGATGTGAATTCTGATTCTTTCTGTTTCTCGTGTACGGATGAGATCTTCAATGAGATGTCTGATGGTCTTGAGTTGGAGAAAACAGAGTTCGAAATGTATCCGTATAAGCAGACAGCGGAGTTCAATTTGTCGGAATCAATTGGTGGCAAAGAAATCAAGATGCAACGGCTCAAAATTGTCTGTGAAATCTTTGATTGTGCACGAGCTTCGACTGGGTTATATGTCATGAATAATCTGAAGTTCTTATGTGCTTTGATGTCTGAACCGTGTTCGTAGAGGTTCAATGTTGGATTTCCTGATAAAAGAGAAATCATTATATCGAAGATTTCGCTTGGAGCTGCTTCGATGCCATCCAAAAGAACCCATTTTCCTGCTCTCATGGCTGTAACTAAAACAGATTCGTATCTATCAATTAAATTAATGAACTGGCATGAACTGAAAATGATTGAAATTGCGCTATCAATGTATTCCAAAGCTTCTTCTTGTGAAACTTGTCTTCTTAATTCTTTCAGTTTCGTGTGGAATGGCTTGAGTTCTGTTGGTGTCCATTTTGTGAGTTTGAAGAGATCATTGTACATCTGTTCGCCTTCTCCTGGGATGTTTCTAACTGCTCTAAGAATTTCTTGTTTGTTTTCATTTGGAATTTGTGACAAAGGACGATATCCGCCTGTAACAATTGATTGATTTGAATCTGCATTCATTTGGATGACTGTCAAATCATTTCCAACTGCATCAGCGAATAACTGAATTGCGTGTGTCTTTCCACTTGCTGTTGGACCTTGAACGATGATTGGGAATCCTTCTTTATCTCTCAAACATGATTCCAACAAAACAAACAAATCTTTTTGATCAATGGAAAGAGAGTTAACTAAACTTGGACATTCAGGAGACATTTTTGATGTTGGTAATTCATGTCCATTGATTGATAATCTTGAATGGTTGATTGATATATTTGTTGTGATCTCACCAATTTCGAATTTCTCGATAATTGTCTTTCTGTATTCTGGATCAATAAATGGACCTAAATATATCAATTTCTTGATTCTTTCTATATCATCTGGAAGCAATTTAACTAATTTAAGGAAGTACTGGAACGATCTAACTGTTATTGGAACAGGGATTTGGTATTCTTGAACAAATTCTCTGATATTTAATAATGTATCAATGACAGAATTTGCTTCGTTTTCATTGAATTTGGCTTTGTTTGCGAATTCGGAGCAAATTGTTCGGAATTCTTTATCTGAATATTCTGGGTGATTGTAAATAATTGAGTTCTTCTTGATTGCATCATTGAAGAATGGTTTAGATGCAACACCGATGATGAAATACTCGCGCTTCTTAACTGATTCACCATTTGGCAACAAAATCGATGTAGTATTTCCTAAATCGAAAATAGGAGCTAAAGCATCCAATAATGGTGCTGGAGCTAAGTTGAGTTCTTCTAAAACAACCCATCTTGGACGTGGTTCTTTGTCTTCTTTATCTCTTTGTGTGATGAACTCCAAAAATGCTGTTGGTCTGAAATCGAAAACTGTTCCTGTTTCTGTTCTTGTAAGTTCATTCTGACCAAATAAGTTTTCAACAGTTGTTGTCTTAGATAAAGGAACTGTCAAAATTTCGGCATGATTCAAATCTGCCAGATATTTGATCACTTCACTTTTGCCAGTACCATTTGGACCTTGGATAACTATTGCTTGATTATGGATTGCCGCGATGAATAAAGCATCGCAGAGGCATTTGATGGAAGGTGTGAAAACTAAGTTTGTTTCTATAGGTGTTGATTGGTCGAATTGGTCCTTTATACCTATTCTATATGTTGTTGAATATAACATTCCTTTCTTTCTTGCTATTGGAGATACTAATTTACTATTTGTTTTCTCTATGATTTTATTTTTATCTTGTGAACAAATTTCTGATGCAGCAATGAAACATTTTTCTGATTCTTGAGTACCATTTCCGATCATCTTCAAATAGAAATTATAAATCAACATCTTTTCAGTGAATGAACCATCGATTTTAGTAATTTCGCTGTTCTGTCTGAAGATGTATTTGTATTGATCTTGTTCGTATGCGTATGTTTTAACAACTGTCATTCTTGATAACATAGCTTCAGACAGTTTTTGTTTTTCATCTTTAGAACATGTTGCGATTACTCTGAAATCAGCTGATTTGATCATGATCTTGTTGTTCTCAGGAGGAACTAATGTGTTCGTGTAATCTTCGTTTAATGTCAATTCTGGGATAATCGAAAAGATTTCATTCAATCTTTCCATGACGGAAACAGCTGGATGTGCGAAATTCTTGAGAATCAAAGTTCTCTTTGTCAAAATCGCTTTTGTAATCAAACCTGGTTTGAATGTTGTTGTGTAATCAGCCAAGAATGAACTGATGTTATCTTGTTTGGCTGAAGCTTTGAGAATGTTATCAACAATGTTTTTAATTACATGTGACAATGCTTCTTCTCTTTCAATCAATAACTTACTTATGGATTTAAGTTGTTGAACGATTTGTCCTCCCTTTATAAATGTATTCTTTATTGCGTTAATTTGGTTGTGGAGATCAATATCTTTAGCCATTGAAGCGAGGATTTCGAACAAACTTGAGATCAATGAGTTATGATCGATAAGAGAAATTGTTCCAATCAATGATGATGTTGTTGAATCTCTATTCAAGCAAACAACATTTGATAACTGTGCGACATTTCTTGCAATGAATTCTTTGTATCCGCTTGGACCGACTAATAAAATTGGTTCTTGCGGATGTAAGATCTTTATGTTGAAGAATGTGTTCCAGAATTGATATAATTCACTTCTGATGATTCTTGATGGTCTGTCAACTGTTAATTCAAGTTTTCCTTTCGTGAGTTTGATGACTGTATCTGAAACTTCATTAGGAACAACATTCTCTGTGATATCAAGTAATAATTGTTTCTGGTCTTCTTCATTAATATTGAATGATGAACCAACGATTTCTGCTATTTTATCAGCCATTTGATCACCATTATCATGTACAGACATGATCATGAATGCTGCATGATGATAAGGTTTGAAGTTGACGAACATCTTTGGATTATCAAGGGAATAACTGACACGTCTGAAGAATCTACGTGCTTCTCTGAAACTCCATGGTTTAGACTTGAATTCTTCAGTAGTTCTAAGATTATCCATGAGATTTGTGACACTATTTGTCAGTACTGATAATCTTGCTGAATCTGCAGGAGATTCCGTGATGATGTCTGAGAGAATGAATTTGATATCATCTTTCTTTAAAACAGGATATTCAATCATGATGACTTTGCGACTGATTTCTTCTGGTAACTTCTTACGACCAAACATAGTGATATCGTTTTGACAGCCGATAAAGAAATATTCCTTTGAAACCGTGACTGTTTCATCTATATTTGGAAGTTCGATTTCTTCGCCACCTGTGCTTTCAAGTGCAATCATGAGACTTTGAAGGACAGATACTTCGGCAAGGTTCAATTCATCAGCTATGAATATTTCGCCATTTTCAATAGATGATGTCAATGGACCACGTTTGATGCCGAATTGTCCATCATTGATTGTCACGTTTCCGAACAATTCACCGATTTGTGTTTCACCGTTAAATGACACTTTATTAAATGTCTTCTTCATGATTGTTCCGAGTGCTTCTGCTGCTGATGTCTTACCGAAACCTGTTGATGACTGCATGACAACATGTTTTCGAATGATGAAGAATGTGTACAAAAGTGCCATTAATCTTTTTAGATCATTTGATTGTTTAAAGTGGAATGTCTGTGTTGTCTGTGGGAGTTTCTCAATGACGAGATCGGCCATTCCTTGGTCCATTTCAAGTCTGTGTTCGAGGAAAACGTTCTTCATAAAGTTATATACTTGGTTATCACTGATATTCGGATATCTTTGTTTGAATCTGATGAAACCATTGATACAATTCACTATTTCTTCTAGTGATTTCGTACCAAGATAAATTTTAGTATTAGATATCGTGTTGACCATAGGATTTAACAAGCCATGAGCTCTGCCTTCATCATTAATATAGTTAAGGAGACTCTTTTCAAGCTGTTCAGTACGTTGTGGTGCTTGGTTGTCGATGTAAAGTAAGGCAAATCTGTTGATGAGAGCTGGAGACATCTTTTTAAGGGATTCTTCTGAGGCTGTAGCAATGATTCGGAACTTTGGATTGACTGCTATGTTTTGAGAATCTGGTTTCTCGTTTACTTGGAAAATTTGATTTAATTCGGCGGCGTGGTCGAGAAGGGCATTCAAACGCTCGATGACCTGTGATGTGGCGTTGTGAATGTTATCTAAGAGAAGAACATTGCCGTTTTGGACTGCTTGCACTACGGGACCGTCAATCCATTTAATTGGGATTTCGCCAACTTCTTCGCCTTTGAAGGACTGGGTTGTGTAGCGGCCAATTAAGTCGGCGTTCGTAGTTTCTGGTGTGCATATGATTGTTCGTGGCTGGGATTGGCTTTCATGGAGATATTGGGATATCCATCTGGCTATTGTAGTTTTACCACAGCCTGGTGAGCCAATAAGTAATAGTGGTCGTCTTTGTTCTATCAAAAGGAACTTCGCGATCGAGAGAACATTAGATAAAACGTCATTCCATATGCAATGGCTAATATTGACATTTGGAGGTGGTAATCGTAAGTTTGTGATGGGTAGCCCGATCTTTGCCATCATCCCAATCATGGATTCGCGTTCGGTTTTCGGAAATCCGGCGGAGTAATTTATCAAAGTTGAGAGTGAGAGGGAAACTGTAGACGTGGTTGAGAATATCGTTGACTTTATATCTCTTATGGTGAATTGTCTGTAGGTATGCTTTGGCTGGAATCGTGTTATGCAATTTGAGTGGAAATTGATGAGTTGCTGTATCAATTGCCTCTCGATTTTACGATCTTCACTAAGTTTTAATGCAATTTCCGTCAGTTCCTCAATCTCAAATGTCTCAAAATTCACTTGTTGGAATTTCGAAGTGAATTTTTCGGATAATCTGTTACGATTTCTCACGTATCCTTCGGTAGGTGGGTTCTGTGTGGCTATAAGTTTAAAGTTAGGATGCATTGGTATCTTTCTATTGCCATTTTGTGTATCTTCGATAATTAAGAATCGAGAATCTAATGATGCTTCAACGCATTGTAAGATTTCGATAGGTGCTAAGTTAATTTCATCTATAATTAATGTCTGTCCGTTTTCATAAGCTTCTGTATACATTCCTGGCTTAAATTTGAGTAAACCATTTTCTGAATTAGGGTCCATGATTGTTTTACCAAGCAATTGATCGACTGTCGTTTCGGAGCTGCAGCTGAAAAACTTTGAATCCGGAGCGACCTGACGAGCAGAGAATGTTTTGCCTGTTCCTGTTGGACCATTCAATAGAACAGGTATTCCTGCTTGTATTGCTCTTTTTATTTTTTCTATTCGCTTTTCTGCGTTCTTGGTATTAATCAATCTTTCCATAGATTTATGATTCGGCCAATAATTCTTTTCAATATCTCAAAATTTTTGAAGCGCTTGTCTTATGACTTGGTATGTGATTTTCATGTCTTATTGGGCCTGACACATAGTTTTGGTGAGTATATAGATATGCTGTTTCTTCTGCATATAAATCCCCACAAATTTTAGCTTTTTCTTTGAAAGTTAAGTAATGTTTTAGTCAAGAGTTGACATTCTTGGTTTCTAGATACGTATTGAGATGTTCTTTCAAGTCGTGTTGATTTCACAGAGTTTGTTGCATTATTTAAAAATGCAAAATCCTAAATATATGAAAAAGTAAATTTTAACAAGATATAATTCGTTCCCAATAATTTCCAATATATAAATACTATTAAATTTTGAATTTGGTTCCAAAAAAATTGAGATGTTTTTGAACCTTGAGTTTTCTTTCTAATATTTAAGTTCTTTTATCTAATTATTTCATACTATATCCATTAAATTTCACCGAAACTATAACTTCCTATTTGAAATATCAAAATCAGGAGATTCAATAAAATTCAAGTGTTATTTAATAGATATGACTTGCTAATTGGGACTTTTTAGGGATTATGAATTATATCATCTGAAATAAAATAAATGAAATAAAAATCAAATAAATTTTTAGGCTATGGTGCAACATCTTGATTTTTGAGGTTCAGTATGATTAGTAAGCATCTGTTCTATCATTTTGAAATTATTAATTTTCGCAATTGTCAATGCAGTTGCTTGTTTACCATCATAGATGACCTGTTTATTAACATCTGCACCATGTTTAAGTAAGAACTCTACAATATTCACATTATTGTTCTCTGTTGCAATTGTCAGAGCAGTTTTTGTTGACTGAAGGATCGAGTTTTCAACAACTTGATTTACATCTGCTCCAGACATAACAAGTGTTGCCATCATTGTTAATTTGTTCTCTGCAACAGCTATTGTCAAAGGAGTATTATTTTCCTCATCTTCGACAATTACAGCGTTAATATTAGCGCCGTGACTGATGAGATAATTCGCTATTTTTTCGTTTTCATGTTTCACTGCAACTGAAAGAGCAGTATAGCTTGTATCTCCGACCAGTGAATACATAACTGGTTTGTTAACATCAGCACCATGTTCAACGAGATATTCAATAATATCATATAAGTCATACTGGCATGCGAGAGTCAAAGGAGTTTCGATGACTTTGTCGTCTCCTTTACTCTCTGGATTATCATCAGGAAATGATGCAACATGTTTGTTAACATTGGCATCATTTTCTACCAGTTCCTTCACTATTTCTAATGAAGCATTTCTGATAGCAACTGTCAATGGTGTATGCCAGAAAAGACCGAAAGTTATAGGTAAAATCTGACGATTTACATTCGCTCCATTTTTAATAAGAATTTTAACAAGATCCAAGTTTTTGTTCATAATAGCGCATGCAAGTGGTGTCATTATTGCCTTTCCTTGGAATTTTTTGTAAATCTAAAAAGAATACCTGTATGAAATAAAAATAGAACTGGATAATGTTATAATGGATGTTATTATATTGAATATATGAAGAACCTCATCACTGTTATTGACATTTGCTCCATTTTCAATTAGAAGACTTGCTATTTCATTCCAACTATATCTGCAAGCAGTATTTAGAGGTAATAGTCCATAAATAAATGAATGATTTTATAAACTAATAATGAATTTCATAAATTATAAGTTGAATTTCATCAAAATATAATGAATTTTATGAATTGTTGGTGAATTTTATTATAATATGAAAGATATTTTGCTTAGCATAATAGAAAAAAGAACTACTTCATGAAAATAAAATGAAATTTCAAAATCAAACAAAGAATTTCATTATATATTAAAGAATTTCGTCAGTCATAATCTCATGATAATAAAATGAACTATATTCTTATGAATTAAAAATTAATTTCATAAATTGATAATGAATTTCATCTTCAATATTTTGTTGATTGACTTTACATCCATTTTTAATTAAGTACTTGACCAAATTAATACTTCCAGTTCTGCATGCAGCTTCAAGTGCTCGATAATCTGTATTATTAATTTGATGTTCAACTAAATAGATAGCAATCTGAAAATTGGCTGATCTTATGCAGTCATAAAGCAAATTATCTTCAAACTCACTGAGGTAATCTTTGATTAAAATTTCTGCAATTTCGTTATGATGTCTTCTGACTGCAAGATTAACGTAAGAAGGTTTTAGTACAGTTTCTTGTGCCATTTCTTTAAATTTATCGATATCTCCGTTAATAATTGTCTTAACAATTGCGCTCTTTTTAATTTTGCTCTTATTGTACTTGACATATTGATTAGGAAGTACTAATCCTTTGTCAAATAATGCTTTATCAAGTTGTGCACATTGAACATCTGTCAACTTTTTGAATGAAATCGAAATATTGTAATAAATTTCAGCTAAATGTGGTACTAATGATTGATTATACTCTGCAATATGATCAAGTGTATTTAATACGAATTCTGCTGTTACTGTTTTGCTTTTAATTGTATTTGATAATGAAATAAGTGTTTCTTTTGCATTGAACTCTGAAATTTCCCACATAGACTCAGCGCATTCATAAAGATCCTGAAGATCTTTTGGAATTTTGGTTTCTTGGACACTCTGAGCCATAAAAATAATTTAAAACGTGCACTTTTTGTAATCAATTTTTGCTCAATTCTAGCCTTTATTAAAACAGCTAGTAATTCATAACGCATATGTGAAGTGAACTTTTTATTGATTATGGTTAATAAAATTATTACAGAAAGCATTATATCAAATTCAAAATCCTTATATCACGAGAGATTGTAGATTAAAATTAAAAATACATATTCATAATATATTACATTTTTTATCAATAAACAATTATTATAAAAGTACTGCTTCTGCAATAGTCTGCGATGGTTCTTTCTTCCTCTTTAGGAAGATAACCAAGAATATAATTGCAAGAATAATAAGTATCATTCCAATAGATAATCCTGTGAAAAGTAATGCTAATCTGGCTGTTTTACTCTTTTGTTTAGGAGTTGGTTCTGGTATTGGAGTTTTGTCCGGCTCATAATTATTTTGAACGAACAAAAGACAATTTCCTGAAACAGAAAGAGACATATCAATGTTCTTAGCAGTTAATCCGGAATCACAGCATATAATTCTAGAATTGTTATAAGTCAATTGTGTTTCATTCTCAAAGAGAATCATCATCTTTTCTATTTGGCATTTTCCTGTTGTTTCAAAATATGACAAAGCTCCTGATTTCGGAATTGTCAATTTTACAAATGAATTCTCAAGATTTGTTTCTATTCCCTTAAGGGTGCACACGAGAGGATCATGTAAACTTCAGAATTTAGAACCTTATTTTTAGGCATTATCTTGGCACCTATTTAGGCTCGAAAAGCAAAAAAATATCAAAAAATACAACTTGACTCCATTATGACCCTTTCATGGAGGTAGTTTTTATCCGCTAGTATTTTCCCTTTGAATCTCTTTACAATTCGAAATCAAATTCAAAACTCAGTAGAAGAAAGGAAGAATCGACTTACTACGGTTGTAATACGAATAAATACATATATTTAATTATTTTTATTTACATAATAATTGTTTGAAGCTCATATTCCATCAAATTTTTAAATAAAAACATTAAAATGTTGAAAATGTTCATATATTTTAATAGGGTTTTGGCACTTTATTGAGGAATTACTACATACATAGTCGAACTGAACTTGATATTTTGAAATTTAAATTATTTATCAAAATTAAAATTTAACTTGAAATTTATAATTATTTAGTCATATTTTGCATAATTCTAAGTAGATTTTGTAAAAAATCAAGAAAGAAAAATTTAACGTGCTTTATTTTTTCTTTTTTATAATAATACATATTATTATATAATTAACATATTCATAATGTTCACCCTTTCAAAAATATAATCCTCCTCCTCTCAAATAAACGTACATACGGGTGGCCTCTTTTTTCAAAAAATTAAAATTTGAAATTTTGGGCTCAAATATTAGAGATTTTTTCAACTTTCAACGATATATGTTGTCTATATCAGACCTCCTTTCTTTTTGATACTTAACATTGTTCCTAAATCTTAGCCGTTAAGGCTGTTCTGAAAATATTTTTTTTTCGAAAAAATTCGAAAAAAATTCTTAAAATTCAAAAATCCCTTAATTCCTGAGGATTTTGGAAAAAAGTTTTTACATGAACATGTGTATATTATATGAAGTATATTGATAAGGTAAAAATCAAATTTTATTGCATATTCATCGAGAAAATAAACTAACGAATCCCTCAAAATTGAGAGGGTAATCCTCCTCCTCTCAAATAAACGTACATACGGGTGCACCCTTAACCGTTGAATTGTTCAGTGAAATATTATTAATGTTAACTGCAACTAATTCGATTTCATTTCCTCTTGGTTCGAAATCTTCAATTGTTAATTTCGCAGATTTAGAATAGAAACCAAGTCCAGGACAATTCATAGATTTAAATGAAGGAATAACAATATTCTTCTCGGAATAAAAGAAAGGATAGAAAGTGTCGCTTGAAGACTCTAATGAATAGCTGAATCTGATATCATTTTGTGATTCAAAGAAAACATTCTTATACTCGTATGAAAGAGGAATACCTATTGGAAAATCTCCATCAGTTTGAACATGAATATGATGATGTACTTGATCATATATTTGGTTATGTTTCAATATTGGTGCTTTTGTTGTTGGCCATTTTCCTTTGATTTGATATTTCTGTATTCTGTCAACGAAAATCTGCGCAATTTTAGTTTCATCTTTCGCTGAACATCTGAAAATCGGATTGTAATCTTCAATCATGTCTTCAAATGTGAAAGATATTATCATTTCTGGTATTGTATCTATAGTTTTAACTTGATTTTGTTGATCTATGAACTTCACAAAATTATCTCCAATTTCGATTTCTTTAACTGTATTACTTAGTTGTAAATCAATTGTTTGTGGCAGGGATTTCACGATATCAAGTGCTGACAAATCTATCATAGCTCTTTGTGATGATTTGAAGTCGCATTCTCCAATAATTTTAGTATTTTTCAATGAAATCAGAGAATTTGGCGTCAAAAATTTTCTCACTGGGTTTTCGTCTATCAATCCCAGCTCATTATATACGCAACCAATCAAAAATCTGATATGGGAGTCCAAGGCTAACTTTTTGTTGTCTACCTAATAAAAGAGAAAGCAGCATTAGTGAGAATAATCGCAAATATTCAATTTAAATTATCTTTTTATTCTTAATTTAAAGTGACAAAAAGAATAAAAAACCTATTCTAAGGCATGTTGTTATGTAAATGAGACTAGACATCATATTTTATGTTATGAAAAAAAAATATTTAGAATTTTAGAACAAAATAAATAGAAAAAATAGCATAACTTATGGATGTGCGTATATTAAATTTAATAAATTAAGAGAAATTATTTTTGGCGCCAAAATTATTCGTTAACTCTCAAATTTTTCTGAGTCAATAAGCCGCCAAAAAAGTGTCATTTTGTTTCGTTAGAGAAAGATGAATTGTCCATGTCATCCAAGGGGGATGGGGATTAGATGATAAAGAAGCAATTCATGCTCTCTATCTGAAGCAATCAGACTTACCAGCAACAATGTGAATCAGTCTTTCACTGAATGAGTAGGTGTTGGAAGAACTGTTCTCTAAAGCGATACAGTTGCGCTACATGTTCGTCAGCTTGTCTAGAAATAAATATATCATTTGTTTTATACGTTTTTTCGTAATAAATCTATTTGTATTTGTTGTATTTGAGTATGAAGATAACAAAAACTACGGCATAAGACGCAGTACACTGGGCTTCGTTGCCATTTTATTTACCATGTTAAGAATAAACTTAACAGACATGCTTTGTTTTCGACGAAGCCATCTAAAATAACGTACATCTAAATAAAACTAAAAAAACTCTAAAATTTCTTTATTTGATAGTATACTTCAAATTATGCACTATACCTTCTAGAATTCTATAACACTCTTTGCATATAATTTTTTTAAAAAAAGTTATATCTCGACAAAAATATGATTTATCAATAGAGTATGTAAAATAAAACTCATTCGCAGTATTAAAAAATCGTAAATCTTTCCAAAAAAATTTTGAATTACAAATTTTAAAACTTAAAACAACATTTTTTGAAGCGAAAAAACGAAATCTAATTTTTTTGGAAAATTTAGAATAAATAGAGCTCTTTAACTCGTCGAATACAAATTGTTTTCAAGTTTTTTTCGACCGGAAATTGAACTTTTAGAGTTTATACAATAAGATTCACATGAAAAAATACGGGTTTAAAAAAAAAAAAAAAAAAAAAAAAAAAAAAAAGGGAGTGGGGCTTCCAGGCACTTCGTGCCTTCTAGCCCTGAGGATGAATGAGTATAATGAAGTTTTTTTTTCTTGGGGTGACCTTCCAGGCACTTCGTGCCTTCTAGCCCACATAAATGAAGTTTTTATTCGGAGGTCTTCCAGGAGCTTTTCACAAATTATATATGTTTTCATGTTTTGTCATGATTTCATCGTAAATGTTTTGTCAAGACTTCTTCGTAAATGTTTTGTCAAGACTTCTTCGTAAATGTTTTGTCAAGATTTCATCGTAAATGTTTTGTCAAGACTTCTTCTTCGTAAATGTTTTGTCAAGACTTCTTCGTAAATGTTTTGTCAAGACTTCTTCGTAATGAGCGTAAATGACCCAAAAATAATGTTTATGTTAGCATGTTAGATCTAACACGTTTTCTAACATGTTTTCTAACATCGTAGAAAACTCATGATTTCATCGTAAATGTTTTGTCAAGACTTCTTCGTAAATGTTTTGTCAAGACTTCTTCGTAAATGTTTTGTCAAGATTTCATCGTAAATGTTTTGTCAAGATTTCTTCGTAATGAGCGTAAATGACCAAATTTCAAGAGTTTTCTACGATGTTAGAAAACATGTTAGAAAACATGTTAGATCTAACATTCTAACATAAACATTATTTTTGCTGAAAATTTCATGATTTTCGAGAGTTTTAGACCATGTTAGAAAACGTGTTAGAAAACATGTTAGATCTAACATTCTAACATAAACATTATTTTTGCTGTAAATTTCATGAAATTTCATGACTTCTTCGTAAATGTTTTGTCAAGACTTCTTCGTAAATGTTTTGTCAAGACTTCTTCGTAAATGTTTTGTCAAGACTTCTTCATCGTAAATGCTTTGTCACTTTTCTGTCACTTTTCAGGAAAAAACATTTTTATTATATATATAAAATGAATTTTACAAAACCACCGTTACCCTTCTTTGGAAATAAGAGTAGATGTAAAGATATTCTATTGAGAGAACTTAAGAAACTACCGAATGGTCTAACATTTGTAGACTTGTTCGGTGGAAGTTTCTATATATCTCATTTGTGCCATACAATATTTCCTGACTCAAAGATTATATGCAATGACTTCGACAACTATATGAACCGTCTCAAACATATACCAGACACAAACAAAATATTGAAAGAGTTAAAAGAAAAGATACCTATAGGTAAGATGGAACGTATACCATTAGATAAGAAAAATACTGTCAGAGAGGTTTTGAAAAAGGCAGAGTATATTGACTGGGATAGTATATCTGCTAGACTATTATATAGTGGTGCTATAAGAGTTCATGACATTGAAACACTTATGTCAAAAGTTTTATATCTTAACTATACAAATGTTTTCAAAGAGGACATAGAAAAATATACTGAGGGTATAGAGTTTGTGAGATGTCATTGGACAGAGTTGTATGAAAAATATAAAAACAAGGAAAATGTTTTCTTTATAGTAGACCCACCGTTCTATAACACATATGATTTTCAATACCAAGTAGACTGGACTCTGAGAGACTCTTTAGAAACTTTAGACGTTTTACATAACCATCCATGCTTTTACTTTACATCCGATAAAAGTGGTTTGGAAACCGTTATGAGATGGTTAGAGGACATACATGACTATGAGTTTAGATATGACAAGATAGAATATGAGAGAGGTCCTATAAACCGGAAAAAGTGTCATAACAAAGAAATTTTACTAGTAAGTAAATGTGGTTTGAAATAGGACTACTTGTTTTAGGTTTTTTCCATTGTGTCATTTATTTATTTGACGTGGCAGAAAAGTACAGAGAATATGAAGATGAACCAATGCCTGCAAATGTTCAGCATATGTACTCGTAAGAGATATTTTTATCTAATATTAAATGGACGCACAGAACTTAGCGAATGCACAGCAACCTGGACAACCAAACCAGAGAATATTCCAAATGAAGTTAGAATACAAACTGCAATGGCAAACTATGGTCAAGTGCCAACAGATGTACAAATGCAAACTGCCATGTCAAATGACGCTGCGTTAGGTTTGCCACATGGTATGCAATATGAGATGGAAAGAGTTTTATACAAACCCTGAAGTGGGATATAAACAACTTTATGCAGATGACGCGAACACAGGAGTTGACCCAGAATATGTTTTCTACCAGAGGAGAAACAGAATGTATGAGCTCCAGTTAAAGAATGCTATGGAACTCAACAGGAAACGTAAGGACTAGGCGGACATTAGATTTTTTACATATAGTAAAATGGGTTTCTTTGGAAAGAATAGGAAACTTCTTTCGAAATGTTGGAAGAGGTATATGGAATGGAATAAAAACCGTCGGAAGAGGAATTTGGAACGGAGTCAAAAATATTGGTAAAAGGGTAGGTCATTTTGTTGGTATTATACCTAAAGACCCTGAACCAGAAGAACAAGCTCCTGTTATACAACAGCCTGAACCTGCACCACAGTCTAGTTGGCAACCAAATCCAACACCTCAACCGTATTAAAAATTATATTTTACCGTTCGATAGTAGTTGTATATGAAACTAAGTTCTAGATAAAACGCATGGTATAATGGAATTATTCTCTTTCTTCCATCTGTAGTAAACCATACTTGAAAGTCTGAAATACTTCCACTTGGTGGTTCATATAACTTTGTAGGTTTTTCGTAAAAGTCATTTGCCAAGCATAAGAAAGAGTTTTGGGCGCCAGAAAATGAAGCATGAACAATAATAGCAGCTGGTCGAAAACATCTTTAAATAAATATGGTTCATCTCTTGCATATCGACTGTAAATATTTGCTAAAGGAAGTTCGACTTTCTGATTTAACATTCTTTGCAAATAATACATGACATTGCAGTGAATTCTGTATATATTTGTTCGTCTTTCTTTGGATTGTCTTGTAGATTTGAAATGACACTTGTGAATTTTGTTTGTCATATACAATTCTCACATAAAGTGTGCTCTCGGTATTTGCATATTCATCAGCATATTTTGCATAACATGAATTTATTTTATCTTCTATATTTTTAACGCAGTCTGTAGAGAAGATGAAAGGTCAACTTGTATTAGCTCAATTTCTTCCCACATTTTTCGTTTCCTTCAGATATATAATCTATATGAAACCTTACAATAAATGGAAAACTTTTATTTCTAACGACACAAACTTCATTCTACGAAAGCCAATAGCTTTTGTGACGGATGGGTCTCTTAACCATCTAAGTGGGTGTCAAAACGATAGCCTTCATGCTTTACGGTCTCTGTCTCAAACTTTTGACCGACATTAGTAAAAAGTTCATCTAATGGTTTAGTTGTAGCAACTCTTGAATTTTCTTTTTCTATTGGAAGCATATTTTATCTACATAAAAAATGTCAAATGAAACAGCGTCTATGAGAGAATACAACACAACGACAACTCATTATGCAAGCTCTAAATAAGAAACACAAACAACTTTTCAAACTATTCTAAGATATCTGAGTCATTGAAAGAAGGAAACTTAAAACTGACTTTAAACCCAATGACAGATGAGTTTCTGTTTCAAGACAATAAGAACCATACTGTCTGTATAAATCCAACAAAAGGAACTTTAAACGAGAAACCTATAAATGAACTTCTTTTGAAAGCAGATATTGACAACAAAGCTGACAAAGAGTATGTTGACGATGAGTTAG